CCCTATCGAATGCATTTTCTATATCAAGAAACACAGCTAAAATTTTTTTCTTGTTTTCATAAGCATTTAAAATATCAGTCTCTAAACGAACTAAATTATCTGTCGTACTTCTCCCTCGCCGAAAACCATTCTGCCAATGTGGCAGTACATTTTTGGATACAAGATACCATAATAATCTATTGCTTATTAATTTCTCCATCAATTTACAAATCGAAGAGATTAAGTTAATCGGTCTATAGCTATTAGTATTCATAGAATCTTTATCTTCCTTCAGAATAGAAATAGTGATAGCTTTTTTCCAGATATTTGGAAAAATATTAGACAAAAATAATTTATTTAAGATTTTTAGAATGATTGATTTGTTAGAAAGACACAAGTTTTTAATCATACCTATACAAATATGATCTGGACCAGGTGAAGAATCTTTTCGTGAATTCAAAGCTATGATAAATTCAGTCATTGAAAAGGACTTTTTTTTTAATTACATATCTCGCATGTTTTCGGGCAGATTTATATATCTCTAACATTTCAGAAGATGGACTGCGAATAAATTTTTTTAAAGCTTTTTTTCTGTCTTTTATCGCCTTATCACATTCTTCAGTCCACCAAGGAACAGGGACGTGTAAACTATTATTTGTGATGTCAGGTGTGAAACTATATGGAATCGCTACCTGAGCCGCTTGCAGCAATCTATTGTTTAATTGGGTAATTATTTGATCAGCATCAGATTCAGATAAGTCAATGTCCGCAAGCTGAGCTACCTCTTGAAAAAGGGCCCAATCAGCTTTTTTAATCAACCAATTGCTATGTCTGTTGGGTGAGAAGCATTTATCGAGAGAATTAGTAATGATGGGGAAGTGATCGCTACAGTGTGTATCATCTAGTGCATACCATTGGGTTGATGCTTGCAATTGGGGGCTAGTAATTGTCAAATCTATTGCAGAAAGTTTTCCAGATCTAGTACAGAAGTGAGTTTGGTAAATATGGTTATTTATAATATTCAAATTATACCTATCTAGATAAGATTCTAGTAATTTACCGCTGTCGTCCAAGTGATCACTACCCCACATTAAGCTGTGAGCGTTATAATCTCCGGCTAAGATAACGGGTGGCGGCAACAAATCAAAGAAATCTTTCATAATGATGTAGAGATGGTTGACCGTTGATATAATATGAGAAAGACTTAGTCGGGGGTGCGGTCAAATAAATACTAGATTAAAATATAGTAATTATTTTATTTTAAAGAAATCTTTGAAAAGAAAAGAAAATTGAAAAGAAATCTTTCAGTTGTTGAACTGTGAATGTTCTACCAGGAGGAAAGTATATAGAACAGATTGTGAACGCACGAGATTGAGATAAAATTCTTATAGGTACCGCTTCGACCATCTGTATAATCTTTTTTCCTTATTGCATATCCCCGGAGATAAAAATTTTCAGTAGGTTTTAAATTGGTTTCTTGTAGACAGGCTACAAAGCAGTTATAGTTAATGAGTAAATATTTTAATTCATCTCTACGGTGGTTTAAACCATTTATATTCCACTGCAATATATTCATTTGATATAATACGCTCTAACTATACTGTCTGTCATCAAATGTGAGCCGATAAAAATTACAATAATGCTTTTTAACAATAAATAAAAAGGGTAATTACGGTATGAATATTGACAATAATTTTTATAAGTTGATAACAAGTAGAATACGATTAAAAGAAACATTAAGTAAGAAAAATTAAATATAAATAAAAATATTTTATAAATTAAATATTCAAGCATAAAAGGAATGACAATATTAAAAGCCGTTGAATGAAGTTTTATTATTAGATTTAAATGTATAAGAGTTGTGATTATCAAGAGGTATTAACAGTGACAGTAGTATAGGTAGTATGTTTATAGTTAAGATTTTTTACCAACTTGGTTTTTTTTTTGTAACTTGTCCATTTTTCGAAGAAACACTTTGATCACTCAAAGAGGAATTTTGAGACAATGGGCGATTTCTTTTCATGTTATAATTTAACATGGGTATATTTGATACAGTATACGGTTTATTTTCATTTTTATTTATTACCTTTTGTTCTTTAACACTAATGTTGACTTTATTTTCATTTTGATTATTATTTTTCGGTAAAGAAACGATTAATTTGTCACAGTAGTCGATCTTTTTATCGGAATTAATTTTGTTTAAAGTAGATTCCATTATACTTATCTTTTTAAATAAAACATCGACTGTACTAGCTAATTTTGAGATCTGTTCAATTAAATCCACTGTTGCGAAAGATGATTGCTGTTCGGAAGTGGAGGCAGGCGGAGCAAGCGCAGCCACAACCTCAGCGTGCGTTCTACCTGTGTCATTTACAATGGGTTATTCCTTGCGCCTCAACCTAAACTCTGCTTCACGATATGAAATTTTCTCCAATGTTTTCATATCCTCTATCCTTTTCTCTCTCTCGTATACTGGACATTTAGAACTATAAGCAGGATGACTACCAAGGCAATTCAGGCACTTAATTTGATCGTTTATGCAATTGTCAGAGTTATGTGAATTTTCTCCACATTTTCCACAATTAATAATATTACAATGCTTTCTAGTATGCCTATATTTATAACAAGAAAAACAAAGGAGTGGCTTCGGTTCATAAGGTCTAATTTTTATGGACAAGAAATCCAATAAAACTCTTTCAGGTAATTCGCTCTTTTCAAACGTCAAAATCAGTAACGGAGTGGCTCTATTTTCATTATTTATTTTTTTATAGATTCTTTTAACCTTCACAACTCCGTGGTTCTCAAATTCAGACACTATTTCATCTTCAGGACAATTTAACAATTCTGGGACGTAGGCGACCCCAATTGAAAAATTAAGTGATTTGTGTAATTCAAATATAATCGGAATATTTTGGAACGTTTTTATATTTTCTAAATTTCTAAAATCTTTTTCATTATTTACAGTCAATAATATCGTACCATTTCTCAAAAATTTTACAATCACATTTGGACCATAACCCTTCACAAGTCTGCAAACATTAAAAGGACTGTAGTCCTTAAAAGTTTTATTAATCAGATTATCACTTAATCTCATTATTAAATATTTCTTTGACCACTTTCCTTTATATTTAAATATATTTTCCTGTATGTCAGGAGGTTTTGGCTCTAATTTAGTTCCCATTAGATGAGACCATGGATTAAATATAAAAAAGAAAAATTAATAAAGCACACAAACAAAGCACTCGCCACATTCCAACGCAGAGATTCCCAGAGGCATCAACTGGAGAAGACTGGAGGGCCCTTTCAGTTAAGTAAGATATCTATGCCGGTATAAAAGGTTTAGTTTATTTTACACAATTCATATAACCTACCGCTTAATCAAAATACAGCCCACTGTCAAAATATGTCGAATATTGGTTACGGTGAACTCATTAGAGTCATGCGGCTTTACTTTAATTAAATTTGGAATGTTGCCTAAACACCATTGTTAACAAAAGTGTGATCTTCTAAAAACAGTTTTTAGACCTTGCCTCAACTTATCACCCCGGAAGTTATTGAAAATTTAACAGCCGGAAACGTTGAATTTAGAAATACTACCAATACTTATTATTTCTTTTTACTAGTGTGTTTGATTTAATATCAACCCAGGTGTTGACAAAATAACATCTAATTATCTATACTGACCAAATTACAAACATATAACTAGTTTAATAGCTAATTTACAAAGAAAAATTAAATATCTTTTATTATTACATACTTGTAATTTTATTATAATATATCGTTATGAAATAGGTAATAAATTATACAATATCTAAACAATGTAATGTTTACAATACAAACCATAAGGTGTTAACCATAAGAGTATTGAAATTACTTCTTTAGAAAAGAAGGCTTCTGTTATGCAAGTAAGATTTTTCCTTAAATTTCTAATGTTTTTTAAATATTGCATCAAAATGCAGCTTTCATTATCAATCGGAATTTAATTCTATTTTAAGATTATATCTCATTATTATAAATTAGCATTTAACAACTAACATACAAAAATGAATAATTTGTTAATTATTTGGATTATGAAAAGTAAATAGTAGGATTAGAAACATTTAGTTGGTCACTTATAAATACGATTAATTCTTATGATAGAGAACACAATTTTAGTCAATTTAGATGACAAACATTTGAAAAATCATCATTTTTAACATATTTTTTAAAAATAAATAAATGTGTATTTATGCAATTATGTTTATTATAATACATCCCAGGTCATGGAAAAAAAATAAATTAAAGCTTTGCAATAATTAATAGTAGTAATTTTCGCTAAATATATGGGAACTTTTAGGGTTTTTTTTGTACACAATATGAGATGAATCTTGTTTCATAATAAACCCTACGTTAAATCTATATGGACTCAAAGCTAATAAAACAAGGATGGAGTGTTTTGGTTGGAGGTTGGAGGGTGATGAAAAAAAAGGCGCGAATAGTTTATGATTTTTTTTTTCCTCTTTAAATGATTTAACCAATTTTACCAGTTCACTGTGAAATAATTGTTAGTTACATAAATTAGAGGACGGGATGGCCGAGAATATTGGGGCATGGGTCCCACAGTTCCCGGTTCCGAAAGTTACTTACGGGCTCGATTCCCACATGCGAATTTCCATTTCTCAGAGGTTCCGGGAAATCAATCTTGACATTCCCACTCTAGTAAGTATGCGGCAGCAGCCTCAAGGTAGCTGTGAGGGATTAGAAAAAAGGACCACGTGGCTCACTTGCCGGACTAGTTCCCCCACCAGTACCCGTACTTAAATTAAGTATTTTTTTTTAGTTATCGCTTCCTGTGCCAAAAAAGAAAAGAAAAAAAAGTAGTATAATTTAAAAGAAAAACAAAAAAACTTGAATTCCCCACCAAAAATCGGGGCATTGTCATTATAAAATTTCTTCTGGTCTACTATCACCTTTAAATATTTGCCTCTAATTACAGGATACCCTGTATAAACTATAATAACAAATAAAAACAGTTTTATTACTTGACCACATGCTAATCCCATTCCAGATTCTCCCATTCCGTGAGGGCACGATAGATTCAATTCCAAGGCATCAGCACCAGCTTTTTCAGCTTTAGTAGATAAATTTTCCCAGTCTTCTTTTGAATAAGAGCACATTATGCTGGCTATTAGAACCTAAGAAACAAACAAAAATTATACTTGTCTAGGTATAGATGTTCACATATTATCTATAAATACACACGCATTTATATGTAAATGTATCATTATCTCACCATTTGAATTATATTTCTTTAAAAAGCCCTTGTTATTTGACACGCAGAAGAGTTGTATTAATCTGTCATCAGGGGCGCTTTAGAATGCTATTAAAAATAATGGATCACCGCACTTGTTATTGTTTGTCAAACACAAAAAACAATCACAAAGCCACTATGAACGTTTAGATACTGTTTTGGAATTGTTATTATAAAAGCAAAATAAGCATCCCTGGGCACATAACCTATCAAAATTTTGGTTTCTAATAAACAACTCATTGATCAAGTTTAGCTTAATTTAAATTTAAATATAGAATTTGCCTGTACATGCCATTATTTATATATGCGCATATTTACTTGTTGTATTTGTATACAGTTGTAAATTCCATTAAATAAAAAAAAAAAAAAATATATATAGAATTTAAGTAAAGATTTACATTATCACAAAGGAACTCTATGATTGATTCCTAACCATATCATGACTGTCAATATATTTTGTAATGCATGTCATTTTTTTCAAAACGCAAAGTATAACCGACTGAATTTTTTTTTTACCAAAGTTTATTGACTATGAATATAAAAAAATCACGTACATTTTTATGAGAAGAAGGCAAGAAGAGAGTTGTAACTACCCTTCTATCGAAGCAAATAATGAGTTCACTTTCTTTCATAAGATTCACACATACTATGTAAATCAATATTACCTTATAAATAACATCCTGTTACTTGCACGTACAAAAAAAAACAACTAAATACAACAAATCAAAACACTAATAAAGGAAGGAGATAGCCCGGGGTGGTGGTCATAAATAGGCTGAATAGTGGCAAAACTATTTTATTAAAAGACAACATTTCGACCCGACTTTGCAGGTCTTCTTCAGGGCTAGAACGGGTTGGGGGCGGGGTGGCCGAATAGGCTAAAGCGTGTGTAACAGCACCGCTAGTTGCCTGGCAGATAACAACCGGATAACAGAGATTTGAGATGATATAAAAAGTACGAGTTCGCGTCCCGGTGCCGGAGGGGATTTTAAATTTCCCCGCCCTCACCCCCCGGCCCGGGAAAATCCCGTATAGCCTAAAAGGCGAGGTAGGGAAGAACAAAAAAAAAAAAAAAAAAAAAAAAGGGGCTAGAACGGGCAAGATACAAACAGATAGAGAACTGTGGAAGTTACATAATATTATGACAAAAAATTATAAACAATGTGAATAAGCTTATTAAAATTATAAACAGCAAGTACATTAAAATATGAACAGAGTAAGGTAAGTAACAAGATACTAAACTGAAGTAAATAGACGGTAACAATTGTTGTAATGTAATATATAATATATGCAAACGTGAATATACTTCTACATATTTACAGGAGAGATTGAAAAAAAGGAAAAATGATATAATATGAAATAATAGACATAAAGGAATGTGGAGAAAAAAAAAAAAAAAAAAAAGTAAATAACATTAGAAGAATAAAAATATAGACTTACAGGTGCGTTCAGCTAGGATTTCATTTAGAACTGGAAAATTAGGGTAAGGCCAGGTATTGGGGAATTTTCTAACTTGTTTGGATTATGGGGAAAAACTTAGAAAATCACAGTATCTATGAAATATTAAATTATAAATATATACATATACATATAAAATAGAATTAAGAGATTATAGATAAGAGTACAATGTGAATAAAAATAAAAATGTAAGAAGTAAAATGTACACAGGATTTCCAACCACCTCCAACACCCTCCATCCCGTTCGTCCCCTTTATCCCCTCTGTTTGTTAATGATTTATCCTCAACTCGCTCTTTCCTCAAAATAATCTACCACCTTATTATTACTAAGGCTGACAGGGGAGATTCAACCGTTATTATGGACAAGACCGAATACTCACATAAAACGCATCAATTACTTTCAGACCAAACAACTTACGCATCTTCCACCCGTGACCCAACCCGTACACTAATGTTAAAATTCAACCAACACATTAAAAACTTACTTGAGACCAAACAAATTAACCATCCCACTTACTACAACCTCATATGCTACAACTCCTTAGCACCCCGCTTATATGGACTCCCAAAAATTCACAAACCTGGAAATCAACTAAACCCTATCATCTCCAATATTAATGCCCCTTCAGCTAAACTTAGCAAATTCCTTTTACCCTCTCTCCAAAAACTTAACCATAATAATCCTTATGGCATTAATAATTCATTCCACCTTAAAGAAGAGTTATCTTCTCTCTATATTCCTGACAACTTTATCATTGTTTTCCTAGAAGCCGAAAGCCTATTTACAAACATCCCAATAGACAAAGCCCTCCACATTATACAAAAAAAACTGGACAATCATCGAATCTCACATCACCCTTAACCTCTCCTCATACCTTGAATCCCTTGAACTTTGTTGTAGATCCGGATACCTCACCTTCCAAGGAAAATTCTTTAATTAGATTTTAGACCTAGCCATGGGAAATTCCTTAGCACCAGATATTTAGCACCAGATACTCTTTTCCAATAATTTCCCTCTCAACACCATACTTCAACTTTTTAACTGCTATACAAACAAAAAGAGCACAACCTCCCCTTCTCTCAACTCTCCACTATCACCTACCACTCCTTTCCTAAACAAATCTCTCCCCTATATTTCTATTCACTCAGATAATATACAAAAATTCCTTAAGACGACTATAACCAACTTACGTCTTGGCCTTATGTCCCATAACAAACTTTCTTTCCTTTACACCAACTTGAAGGATCTCATTCTTTTACAACACCGATCTAATGTAGTTTACCGGATACCTTGCTCTACTCCTAATTGTAATAACTCCTATATTGGCGAAACCAAAAACCATCTCATAACCATCATTTCCTTACATGAAACATCCAGAACTTCCCGGAATCCTTTCGCCTCCAAACTATCAGAACATGCCTTGACCCTCAACCATTCATTTGATTTTGAAAAAAAATCTATCCTTGCCACGGTTCCTTACTATGAAAAAAGGCTCATTTCCGAATTCATCCACATTCACATGGAACAGAATCCTATTAATCATAAAGTAGATAAAAACTGCATTTCTTTTACATATAGACACATTTTAAATCTTATAAGTGAAAAATAACTTATATATTACATCTTATTATTTTTATCTACTTTCAATTTTTATTGATTAATTCTATTTAATTGTTCATTATTCTAAGTATTTCCGCTTTGTATGATCTCTCTTTTTATTTAATTTTAATTTGATATTTACATTCTACATCAATGTATGATCATTCGTTTTCATTTCGTATTAATTTTACTTTTTAACCATATCTCAATATTACCTAACATTTAAATGTAATTTTCTTACATAAGTACCAAATATAATTATATTTATTCATATATTTCCCCCCCCTCTCTATACTTCTGAGTTAGTTCTGCAATGTATGGTCTCTTTTTTCTATATTTATTTTTTACTTCTATGTACATTTTACTTCTTCCATCTTTGTTTTTATTCACATTGTACTCTTATCTATAATCTCTTAATTCTATTTTATATGTATAAATATATATTTATAATTTAATATATATTTATAATATAATATATATTTATAATATAATTTATAATTTCATAGATATAGTATTTCACATTTGCATATATTATATATTACATTACAACAATTGTTACCGTCTATTTACTTCAGTTTAGTATCTTGTTACTTACCTTACTCTGTTTATATTTTAATGTACTTACTGTTTATAATTTTGATAAGCTTATTTACATTGTTTATAATTTTTTGTCATAAAACTTCCACTGTTCTCTATCTTTTTGTATCTTTTCCGTTCAAACCCTGAAGAAGATCTGCAAAGTTCGGTCGAAACGTTGGCTTTTAATAAAATAATTTTGCCACTATTCAGCCTATTTATGACCGCCACCCCGGACTATCTCCTTCCTTTATAATGCAACGGTCAACTATTAAATATTCAACAAAACATTATTATTCTTTTATGAACAATATTCGTTTTAAAAACACAAAATACTACTAGGTTTTTTTATCAATAATAAAAATTTTTTAAATATAACATGTCATTAATTATAAGCCTCCTCAATTACAATTACTCGTACTATTTCTCCCTGAAGAAGACCATCTAGTCTATTTCTATCAACGTCGTAGGTCATTCTGCAACTTACATATTGACACTATGTTTCTCATCTAAACCTTATTATAGATTTTGATTAAACTCACTAGGTCAGAGTATTGGTTAAGTGGTTTTTAATTTAAGGTAGGATTTATCCTCAATAATGAAACTTGACAGGGCTTAAATACTGATTTTTCAAAATACCCTCCCCCAAAGTACCTTCAATTTTTTTTTGTTGAAATAATTAACCATTTCATATTTGAACCTACTATAAAAAATGGTTAAATATATATAATAAAGACAATTTATAGGTAACTAATGAGGAAATAAAGGTAGGAAGTTATACGGTATAAGCTATGTAGGAAGTTCGGCTGTTTATCCGAGAGCACCCGACCTTTGCCGATCATCTACATTTACAGTTACCCGATCTGTACAGGGCGTTCATATTGTTGTTTAACTTTTATAAATCATTTATCCATAATTTTTTTAAAAAGGTTTTCAGGCGAAATGCTGTGGATTTACTAATATAAGCCTAATAATATGTAGCAGAATTTGCTTGTTGATCAGCGTAATCTTTGAGATTATTCATTTATAACCGGTCAAGTGTACATAAGAACAATTGATATTTACTGTTTGCAGTTATAAATTATATTTTATTTTATTTTTATTATTATTTTTTTTTATTTTATGCGATATCACCATCAGGTCATGTCTAGTAGAGCTTCCATTAACGATAGCTTCCATTATCCCCAACCCCTATCAAGTGCTTCAGAATGATAGAGAGGTGATGGAGCCCGATCCGATACAAAGAGATTCACAACCTCCTCCGATATTCGTTAAAAAAAAAAAAAAAATCAGTTGCTATGCTCTCAACTGAAGAAAATAACAGGCTCTGGAAGCTACTCATGTCTAAGCAGAACAAAGGACTCAAAAATATTACAAAAAAACAGCTGAATCCTATACAAACATTGTGAAATATCTAACAGAAACCAAAGCGGATTTTCTTACGAATCAATTACGGCAAGAACGAGCTTTAAAAGTAGTTATAAGAAATCTACACTCCTCAACACCAAACGAAGCAATAGAAGAAGAATTGAAAAATTTAGGTTTTATAGTGCGCCAGATTACAAATGTTTTGAAAGAGAGTAAAGAACAGCCAGGAGTAAAAGTTCCTCTATCCTTATTTTTCGTAGATTTGGAGCCAACTCAAGGGATCGAAAAAATATACGAAATAAGAAGAATATACAATACAAGTGTGACAGTAGAGAAGCCATATACTGAGAGAGAAATCATCCAGTGCCATAATTGCCAAGTATATGGCCACACCAAGACTTGCTGCCATCATTTGCCTCGTTGTGTGAAATGTGGAAAGCAGCAAAAATCCGGTGAGTGCAAAAAATTAAACGGGATCCTGCAGTTTGTTCTTTGTGCCTTGAAGGACATCCAGCGAACTACAAAGGCTGCCAGGTATATAAGAATATCAAGTCAAGATATATCAAGATATTTTACATAAAATATCACAATTCATTAATTTCTACCTATCCCTCTCGGCTCGTGACAATTCCCTTTGGAAAACCATAACAAAAATCATAAAACCTCACCAAATTTCCGATCTCCACCGACGAATTTTATTTCACAAGAAAAAGGCTCCCGGGCATATGGCATGTACCGGGCCTCCCAATATTGTACAATCATCATACTTCCAGATCGCTCCTTTCCACCATTTCTCTCGAATTAAGTTCGTCGCCACACATCCACGAGAAAGGAAATATGCTGGGTTCTGTTCTATTACTTAAATAAGGCCTACCACCTGGTACATATCAATCCAGATCCAACTGCCATATTTTGGAAATAGACTCGTCTCCGGCGCATAAAGTCAAAGTATTGTGGATACTGGAGGTGAAACTATTTTGTGCAGGTGAAGGTCGCACCAATGTTCTGATAACCAACCAAGTCCATTCCCAATTAACTAACTAGCTCTCCTAAATGTTTTATCTCTCCCGTCAACACTTTACCATCCACATCCGCACCAATCAGAGACAATATTTCTTTAAGATCTTCTGCAACCTGAATACCGTGTTTTTTAAAAGTATTTCTAATTTCTTTACTATTTAAAGCTTCCACCGCATCACAAGTAGTTGGTTGAGTAAGAGCTTCATAGTTACACCTGTAGAAATTATCCATACTACCCAGATAAGTTCGATGAACCATATGCTTTTCAGGCTTCGTTTCTGCACCATCAAACAGTCTATGGGCCATAGTTTTTTCTCTCAGAGATATAAAATTCAGTTTTCCCCTCGTCATTCAGTGTTCTTATGAAATGAATGATTTTTGAGACCAAGTGTCAATCAAGCATCACAGTTTTCCCCGCTCCATGTTCCAATTTTGCGAGAAAGGTTCATAGAAATATCTGCATTCTTGAATGTTTTATAAGATCCGTGGAAACTGCAAACCTTCGGCGCTATCTTCTTATCATATTTTGATTCTTCTTTTGAAGACTGAAATGGAGTTAAATCGGGACATATAATCTTAGTGTACTTCCTACCACAAAATAAGCATCTTGTCGATTTTCTACAATATTTTGCACTATGACCACCTTTCAAGCAAATAAACCTCTATCTAAAACAATCATATTTCTATGTGCATGCTGCATTTGCACGCTTCAAAGCATAAATTACTATCATGTACTTTCTGAAAAAAAAACAACAAAAAAAAACAACCTAAATTAGACTTTCTACCCTTTACTGGTTGATCTTTATTTGAATGTACCGAAGAAGCAATACTTTCCGCGACATTCGCAAATGTCAAACATTTTCTTCTTTTCGCTTTAATTTTCTTTTCTTCTTGAAACCCAAAATTCTTTTGAGCTAAATTAGTACGCACTTCTGTGTACACTTCATTTATAATAAAATCCATCAATTTTTCTAAATGTCTTTTCGAGTTTTCACTGCCTAAAACTTCTTCATGTTGACTAAGAATTCTGCTCCACAAACACAATAATTCTTTTGGCAAACATGACTCTACCAACGGGCCTCAAAAATCAGTGAATTTCCTTTTCGTACTACCTAAACTCTCTAATTCTCTTAAAAGTCCTGATACACCCTACCTTTAACAGCATTTTCCTTTACCATAGCTTTCATCTCACTTCCATACACCCATTGTAATAAATCTACAATATTTAAATCTGAGCGTCCAAAACGACTTTGTAACTGTGCTATAACTTTAAGATAGTTTTTCCGCGTTTGATGGATAAGTATTAACTAATATTGTTACTTTTGAGCCTGGAACAACGTTCTGAATTAAATATTCAAATTTATTCCATAGATTCAATTTATTATCTAACTGAATTTGTTTGAATTGTTCCCAAAAACTCAACCAATTATTTGATTCTCCATCAATTTTCCGAATTTGAAGTTTAGATAATTTATATGATTTGTCTACAGAATTTACTCCTACAACAGACCAACTTTTAATAGAGATTGCATGCCCCGAACTAACTTTAGTTTGTATTATATCTTCTACATTAACACATAACTCAATCCATCTGCATCCTCATATTCTTGATTATAATATTGTTCTGTTGTATTAACATCAGAAATCATTAATTCCATTAATTCTTTTTGAACTGTACTTAGTTTCGTATTCTTATCACTTAATTGTTGTAAATAAATTTTAAATTATGTTTAATATTTAACTGTTCAGAGTTATGTTCTTGCTCCTACTTATCAGCTAATTTTGTAAAAGCAAATTGAATGGGTTTCCTTTTCTATCTTAATAGATCCATAATAATTATTTATAGAAAAACAAATAAAGAGTCCTTTCACGGTCGCCAAAATATGTTAAGTGCACAAAAAAAAAAAAAAAAAAAAAAAAAAAAAAGAAACAAAACAAATAAAAGCAATAATATTCTTTTATGAACTATATTGGTTTTTATCAACAATAATTTTTTATAAATTATAACGTATGTCATTAATTTATAACCACGCTGCACTCGTAAATTACTCTTACTGTTTCTAACGAACATCCTTTTCACAATTTTTGAAATGGTTAATGCGGAAGATAAAAGGTGTATGGTCATAAAACATTCTGAAGAGACTTCAATAATGTACCTCAAAGAACAGGATAGAAATAAAAAATATAAGAGATGGTTCATAAGTGGTCATGTAAAACCTTTTTTAGCGTTCATTTGAGTGTGTGGGGAGGGGTAGAGGAGAGGTCATTTCTCGAAATAAATAGGCTTATAGGGTGAGAATTCCAACATAACTACAAAATATAAATTTGGTTTTATTTGAAATAGGATAGAATGGCTACTACCGTAAAACAAATAAGTTCTGTAGACGATTTTAGGTTCTTTTTATTTTTGATATGTTGCGTTAGACCTTGAGGTCGAAATCTTGGATTATTCATTGAACTTATATCAACTCACTTAGAAAAAAACTCAGAAAAAAATAAAAACTACCGGATTAACACACGGTCCGACCTTTTTTAGAGGTTGGGGGTACAGCAGTATTAGGCGAGATGCTTTTTAATGCTGCCGAGCTGATGGATACAGATTGATATTTGTGTGTTAGAAAATAAAGAATTATTTATTAGATAACACAGTTTTTATTAATTTCAATAATATAAGGTTTGATATTACAGCACTATTGATGTAAAAGATAAATAATAATAATTCTACCTTTTCTGGGAAGTCTTTTTTTAATTCAGCTATACTTTTACACCAATATTCTTCTCGTTTTTCCGATATTAACTCAATATTGAGAAATGATCCTTGTTCTGGGCCATAAACATGCCTTGAGGTTGTTCCCCTAATAATACGTGGTGATACATTTGTCACCAAATCCTAAAAATAAATAAATAAATAAAAATAAAAAAATGGCCTACAAGCATTTATTAATAAAATAAAGATATAATTTATACAACTAAAACTTAAATTACATTGTAACGAGTGTGTAGTGTATTAAAACAGGAATAGTTTACACAGCCAGAAATGAGCAAATTTCAACGTGAATACCGAGTCCCGAATAACCAATATTTTAATATACAATATTAAATTTCTTAAATAAAATTTTGTTTACTTTACGATGGTGTACTTAGAATTTTATTATCTTATACAGCGCGAATTTTGAGGAATTCATTCTTATTCAATAACAAATGTGACCACACAAAATTGGTCTTAACTCCGTTTCCGCTCGGAATGGGCCCATGCATCAAATGAACTTTTAAAATGTCTATTTTGTCTGCCAGAGTTTGGCAATTAACAACTGAGACACCATGTGTATAAGGTGTCACGTAAGTAGAGGGAAATAAGAGTGATAGCAGACCTTAAGACATACAAAAAATTTTATATAAACATTGTCCAATTTTCAGCACAACAGTAGGAAATCCAAGTTTTGTGATTTTAAAAGTAAGTCGTGTTTTTTGTTGAAGAGGAAGCCATAACTAAAGAAATATACTAAAGAAAGTAATTAAAAATTAAACAAGACAAAATTTACTTTTAAAAAAAAGAGTTTGTCATTATTAAAACCATTTAAAGAGGCCTTTTGTGCAGCTAAACTAAACTAAGTTGTGTACTTAAATAAATCACTAATTATTGTTTTGTTTATGATCATCCAACTATACAACAGATATCAAACTTTCAGGAAAACTGAAAGTCTGTATTAATTAAGTTGAGATTTTAAAGAAAATTTGAGATTTACTAAAGTTGTGTAAAAAAAACTGATGTGATTTTTATCCTGTCAAGTAGAAGTATCCCTGTTTTTAGCATGTTTTTTTAAAATCTATTTAGACACAATCCAGATAGTTACAAGTGTCATGGCCGCAACTACAGTTCAATGCTTCCATCGCTCTATCTTTGTTGCTCTGTCTTCTGCTTATTTCTATAAAAACTGCTGCTTCAAGTTGATAACAGTGAGTTTGTGAACATTTGAACGCATTAACATTGAAATAGTGAGGTGAGAGACCTTTATTAACTATTAACTAGATAAGACGTGCCTCGCTATTCGCTCACAGATAAGATTAAATACATTTATTAATTTCTTTTTCTTATAACTTTTCACTTATTATTTGTTATTTACTATAAGGATCTATATTTATTTTTTATAAACTATAAGGATATATTTATTTTATTTCATTTTATTAATTTGTTGTTCTTTATTACTTGCTTTATTTTTATTCCTTTTATTACGTTGTATTTTATATTTCTAAGAGGGATCCCATAGATTTAAATAACCCAAAGGTTAACCGAATTCGTCTTAAATTTGAAGCCGAAAATACGGATGGTGCGATTCCAATTAGCCCATCGTTCTTAATAATAGAAAGATCAGATGATCAAAATTTTAAAAAGTATCCCCGTTCTTAGCAAATAAGTTTCTTTCAGGTTTAGTGGGAGACTTAAAAAATGTGAAAAACCTAGGAAATGGTATATTACTTATTGAAACCAAAAACAGAAAACAATCAGAACTATTAAAATGTAAACATTTTGGTGGCCAATTTCCGGTTCAGGTTTCCTCCCACAATACCTTAAATTATAGTAAAGGAGTAAATCGATGTTACGGCCTCCAATTTCTAGAGATAGACGAAATTAAAAATGAATTATCTCCAGTGATAAAGGATATATTACGCATTAAAAAAAAAAAAAAATGAAAATGAGATATTGACAAATTTGTATAGAGTGACCTCTCCTACACCGAGAATTCAGGAAACAATAAAAATAGGATTCCATACGGTGAAGGTACAGGATTATATATCTAATCCCCGACGCTGCTTTAACTGCTCATCTTTCAGCCACCCCTCGATCGTCTGTAAAATAAATGTATTCCATGTGGGGAACCAATACATAAAGATAACGTGAGGTGTACGCGCCAGGCCCGCTGTACCAATTGTGCTCAAAATCACAACTATTTAGATCGTCGGTGTCCGATTTTTACTGTACAAAAAGAAATAAAAACTATCCAAACATAAATAAAATATCTTTAAATAAAGCAAAAAAAAAAATATATATATATATACAAATAAACATAATTCAACCCAGTTTGCTAGATCTTTTGCTCAAATTACAAATCAAAATCCTAACACTGTCGAAAAGAAAGACATCGGCATTCAAACAATTTAATTTTGGATAAAACATATATAATGCCACTTATACAGCTAACAATATAAGTCCCTATCCCTATAAAACACTCACCAGAGTGAGAGTTCACCATCGTGCATAACAAAAACCGGGCAATCGTAATAAAAAGAAAACCCAATAACTTACGAAACACTAAAAATATACGATTACAAATTTTTATTTTATTTTATTTATATATATATATATATATATATATATATATACATATGGTTTTTTTTTATTCAAAATAAACCTGTATAATGTCAATCCGTGCCCTAGCATATATTTTAATTTGCAAAATATAAGTATTTTCATTTCGATAAAAATATACATCACTATTACAGCAATAAAAATAAAAACAGTGCTATTTACAACGCTCGACACATTTACTTATTACTACCAGACATAACAATAAACATCCGCAATCATAAACAAACTTCCTAAGTTAATCTAATTCTATTACTACAAAAATAGACCTTATTTTTCTATATTAAAGAAATACTCTATGTTCACTAATTTATTTATCTACAAAGCATAAATTTATTTCTATTATATGAATATGTGCAGATGCACGTATAGCAATGTAGTAGGATTATATATTTTTTATGTATACGTGTGTACTTTTGTATTTTTACGTATGTACGTAGGTATATATGTGATTGTGCTTATATGCTTCTATGTGTGTGTATATAATTGTGTACGTACGTACGATCCTATGTTTATCTATAATACCACTATTCTCGCCATTACCATTAAGATCTCTGAATCCCAAACAACAAACCTAGTTTTTTTTTTTCACGGAACGGCCATAGAGACCACGCGAATATCATGACATTTGGCTTCTTTCTTGTTTTTCCTTTCTTTCCACTTCTCTCTCATTATCTCCGCGTGCCGCCGCTTTCTCTCCTCCGTCCAAGCGACTCCCTTTCTCGAACTTTTCTTCTTAGCAAGAACCGTGATCTCCTTTAGTCTCTTACCATACCCCTCTCTGTCCAGACAGTCCCGGTCCGTTATTCCAAGTCTTTCCGTTTCTTCCTTCATCTGCCTGATGTATTTTTTCGACTATTTCCTTGTTAAGTCTTTCTGGGGCCATTCTTACCATATTAAAGAAACACTCTATGTTCACTAATTTATTTATCTACAAAGCATAAATTTATTTCTATTATATGAATATGTGCAGATTAACATATTCATATTAGAAATAAATATATTTCTGTGGAATTTCAGTCTCCTGATCCTTATTTCCGTTTCTAGATCTCTCGTGTCCTTGTATATTTCCTGATTGGATCTTAACATGTATCCTTCTTTTGTCTTTTTGGGGAGGTAAATCCTTCTTAGAATTCTTCGCTCTATTCTCAACAATTTTTCCAAACTGGGGAGGGATGTGGTTTCCGTCCCGTATAGTATCACAGGTTTAACAACTGTATTGTAGTGTCGTATTTTTGCTTCCGTGGACAGGTTTCTCATGTTATATATGTTACTGGTTGCAACAGTTAGTTTTTCCAATTTGGCTATTCTTTCCTTGATACTTTTTTTTCCCGAACCATTATTACATATAGTCTCACCCAGGTACTTAAATTTATTTGTTACATTTATTTTTATTTTATTCTTTTCTTCACTCTAATTTTTAAATGGAACCTGAAAACAACACATTTTTTGAAGAATCGAAGGAAGAGACCCCATTCTCAGAAATAAGCGAAACTGACTCGCAATATATGACAAGAATACCATTACAAAAGCCCCACCGAAATTCTGCCCCCGGATCTGGAGGCAGTTCACCGAATAATAAAAAAAACAAGTCGGTAGAATAAAAAAAAAAACACCTCTAGGTAAAAAAGCAACGCCAAATACATTAGGTAATAATAATACATCCGTAAAACCAGAGCCAAACCCATTATCTACTTCAACCACTAACTCAGTTCAAGCCAACAACTCATCAAATAACTATCTGGAGCAAAAAGAATTTTCTGATCCAGAACCACCATCTATTTTTGTTTCAAATATAGACAATTTCATGTCCTTCGGGAAAGAAATTTCAGATTTAATAGGTCAGCCTAATTTTCACTACTTTTCGAGAGTTAGTGATATAAAAATAAATACTAATTCCAGACAAAATTACAAAAAAGTTGTTGATCATCGGGAATCCAAAAATTACGATTTTCACTGCTATCAACTTAAACATGAAAAAGCATACATACAGGGTTATTTCATGTCGTGCACTGGCCCCTTTCAACATTCCTAGTCGCACAAATCATCCACCGCAACCTCATGATCCAAACCCAATTCACACCCACAAACCAACCGACTTCACTTCGATTTTAACATCCTATCTGATAGATCTTCAAGATAATATCAAACTGCTCATCATCCTTCTCACTAGACTCCTTTCCGAAATACCATTCAACTTTAATCGATAAACACAAAGCCCCTAGCTATCCTCTTATGGACTACAAAACCAACTTGGCGAACTAGACTTATTTCTTCATGACAATCATATTGACATTGCCCTCTTGACGGAAACTCACTTCACTCAATGGTCAAACTTTTATATTCGTGACTACATTATTTACAGGTCAGACCACCTAGACAATACTTCCCACGTGGAAGCCAACTGAGACCATTCAATCAACATCGGTAATCCTTTCAAGTCACCCTTTCCACCTCACATTCTCAGCTGTATACTGTTCTCTTGCTAATTCCCTCTCGTGTAACTTTCTTGATTTGTTATTCCAATCCCTTGAACCTCGGATTATTGCTGGAGGAGACTCCACTGCAAAACACCAACGATGAGGTTGTCGAACATCCAACTCCCGTGGTAACATCCTATCTCGTGTCTTATCTTCCAATAATTATTGGACCACCACTCTCGCCCTACCGTCTCGCCCATGAATCCTACCTATTGGCCAACATTCCTCAAAAATGCCCTGATATCCTGGACATTTGTCACCTCCCAGTTATCCTCCTCCCATGTCACAATCAAATCCCTGGATGACCTTTCTTCAGATCATAGTCTAGTTCTGCTTTCATTGCACTCAACCTTCGTTCCTAAGCCCTCCTCTCCTCTTTACTACTGTTCCTGGTGATATGCCTTACTGTGATGACTGGTGATATATATCTTACGTATCATCCAAATCCCCTTGCACAATCCCTATCAAACACCACCCATCACTATAATCCTCCAAGTAGGGTAAAACGGCAGTGGCCTCGCGATCTATGTATACATTACTGTTTGTATAATATTGGCTTGTATACTGGCTTTAGTACTAGTGAAGCGGTTGAGAGAGGTCACCAATTCAGTTCGTCACTTATAAATACCCATTAATTCCTATGACAAAAATCTGGCAGAAAACAAAATTTCATAACCACCTTACATGAAAAATATTTGAAAAATCGTTTTTTTTTTTTTAATTTTTATTTGTATAAATAAAATGTATTTATAGGCAAATATGTTTATTAAACTATATCACATCACACGGAAAAATATGAAATAAAAGATTTGCAACAGTTAATTATAGTAATTTTTGCAGAAAACAATGATACGCGTTTGCGAACATACCATTAGAGGAAATTTTTTATTGTTTTCAAGGTCTTTAGTTCATTTTTGCAGTTTCGTCACTTAACCTTGAAACACCCTGTATTATAATATTCATTCATAAGTTCATATTAATTCAGTTAAGGTTTATTAGGAATTTTGTTTAGATTCACCCCAAGCTGTGTAAAGAAATGATGTGATTTTCTATCCAGTCAGATAAAAGTACCCGTGTTTTTCAGCAAAAATTATTACAATCAACTGTTGCAAAGCTTTTGTTTATTGTTTTTCTGTGATATGTGATGTATTTTAATAAACATAATTGCATAAAAATAGATTTTAATGATAAAAAAAATATTTAAAAATGACCTGTTTTAATTATATTCTTTTACCGGCAATCAATAGATTTTTTTATTTAAAACGTAAATTTTAGGACTAGAAACTTATAGTTTTGTCAATGATAAATCTGGATCAATTCTCATGACACAGGTCTGGTAGAAAAACACATTTTTATATCCATTTTATATTACAAATATTTTAAAAATCATTATTTCTAAATTTTAAGTCGAATCTCAAATGTTTTCCAAATAAACCTCAATTTAATTAGCATAGACTTAAAGCTCTATTAACGAAGACGTTTTTTTAATAGTGGGGTAACTGTAGTATAGTTGAATGATGATAACAAAAATCGCTAAAAAAAAAAAGTTATGATTTTTTTAAAAACACAGCTTAGTTCAGCTAATCAATAGTCCTCTTTAAATAAATTTAACAATGGCAAACTCTACTTTAATTTAAAGAAAATTTTGTTTAGTTTACTCTGGAGCAATGTTTAATTACTTAAATCAAATGTTTTTTATGTTATAGCTTCATATTAAACAAAAATCGTGAGTAGCTTAAAAAAACACAAATCTCAAATTTCCTACTTTTCTGCTCGAAATTGGACAATTGTTTATTAGATTTTTTTCTGTAGATATTGATGTCTACTATCAACTTTTTTAATATTTCACTCTACTTAAGGAACATCCTGTATATTTATATATATTTTTTTTCTCTTTTTTTTTTCAATTTTTACATTACAACTACAACTACACTGTTATTGAAAATACTTTATTTCTATTTTTTTTTTAGTTGTGGGCCTATTATTATTTAAATTACTGTATATATTATTAGAATTTTTATTCAGTATGTCTTTGGCCATATATGTATTTTTTAAATTTATATTTTGTTCATTATTCTTATTCTGAATAAAAAGGAATTGCTCAATAACTATTCAATAATAGTTTACTAATTTTAATCACCGTTTTCCCAAAACAAAATTTATCTATTTTATGATGGTGTACGTCGAATTTAATTAATTACCTTGAACAGTTTTTGACCCATTCCTTCTTATTCTGTAAAAATCGTGACTACCTTAAGAAAAACACAAAATTGGTATTAACTTCTTTTGCATTCGGAATCGGACTTTTTTGTTGGACATTTTGTGTAGAATCGCCGCCCACAGTTTGGCCATTTATAAATGAAACACCAGGTATAGACTTTAACTTAATGTGATTTTATACGCGTAATTGTGAATCTTTAGTTCTAGGCTCCTAATTAATTTTATTATAATTTTCTTAAATGTGCACTAAGAAAATAAGTAATAAATAGAATTTTAGAAAGGAGATTATCGTTGTATATTGCTTTTATCATTTAAAATTGAATAATTTTGTAAATGTGATCTGTATTTCGTAATGTAAATAAGTTTTAAAATTGAAATAAATATATCTATTCTGTTGTTGACAACACTGGTGTAGAACCAATGAAGAGGATTGGGATGTTTGGTTTGGATTTGTTCGCTTGTGTCGTACATAGATGAGACATTACTCTGTTTTGTTTGAATACCCTACAATCTATAAAAAAGTTGAGCTCAAGGTATTGATGATTATATTAAATTTTAATATTAATTAAAATAAGTGTCAAAAATATGAGAAATAAAAAAGAAGTGACATTATTTTTTGTTATTAGAAAGTTTAAAGTGGGTAATTTAATTACCTTATCTAAGCCAAAAGTTTTGGTTACTGCAAATCCCCAGCCTGCCTGAAATGCTCTTCGTATCATTGAACTGCTTGTTGTTGGTGGTGCTGAAGCAAGACCAAAAGGATTCTCAAAGTGAATATTACAGATATCCACTGATATGTCTACATCATCAATGCATGTGTAAAATTTTGGCAATTGTGGTGTGATTGGTACATTATTATTCCCCATTTTTTCCTTTAAAAATATATAAAATTAAAAGATAAACATGCCAACTATATATATAAGATATAAGAATACACAGTTGCTGTTTGTTTATACCATTAAATACTTGTGCATATACCATGCTGCTGTCTTTCCATCATTAACTGATTCCACTGTTGTTTCAGAGAACCCAGCAAAATCACCACCACAATATACACCCTGAACACTAGTTTCCATTGTCTGGCTGTTTATTTTTGGTAAGTTTCTTGTATTAAGATCTAACGGTTCTAATGCCTGTAAAACTGAAAATTTAATATTTAAAATTACTTATTAGTTTAAATAATATTTTGGTGATTAGTTAGAGTAATGAGTATGTAGAGTATTGAGGTGAATATATAGATTAATTGGTTTTATGTGATTGGAATAAATTAGATTTTCCAGTTGATTGTTTTAATGGAATTCGATCTAAAGTAGACAAACATTATAGCTATTTAAAAACCGATGAAAATTATTAAATGAGAAATATTTCAATTGGTAAAATGCGAAAGCTGCTCTAGATTGACGCCAGTTTAGCGGAGCAAGGCCAGTGTCAACGAGAATAGTGAGGACGGATAAAAGTACCCGATGCAAATATCGTCAGTAAAGTATCTAACCGTCAGTGTATCAAGCCCAAGTATCTGATGAAAGTCTGTAACCTTCATTGTATCAAGTAAAAGTATCAGATGAAAGTATCTCATCCTAAGTGTATCAAGTACAAGTATCAGATAAAAGTATCTAATCCGGGTGTATCAAGTAAAAGCAGCATGGGTACTTTCATCCGTCCTCCAACCTCCTCGTTGATACTTGATTTGTTCTGCTGAACTGACTCCATACTAGAGACTCTAGGGCAGCTTCCGCATTTTACCTATTGAAATATTTCTTATTTATTTTACTTTCAATCATTTCTCTCGGTTTTCAAATAGCTATAATATTTGTCTACCTTCTTCCAACACTATTAACTCGGAAACAAAAATTTTCAACTAATATTATTATGAATGAACATTATGAGGTAAAAGTAAAAAGAAGAATAACAAAACTATACTAAAATAGTGGAGTTTAAAATGCATTTAATGAATTGAAGTATAAATATAAAATAGTTAATTTATTAAAAAATATTTTTTTAAAAATTATTTATTTAGACATAATATTCTGTCTCGAGAACAATAATTAAAGTGTTAAATGAACACATTCACACCATATATCCAAAAAATATAAAATTAACAAAAGTAAAATAATAACTAAATAATAATAAATAAAAACTATGTACAATAAAAAAATAAAATAACTTAAATATAAGTAAATAAAAAACGAGGATAATCCTTAAGTGTAGAGATGGATGGTTGGTGTTGGACGGCGATGGAAGGTGAAGTCAGCAAAGCTGGGAAAGTTTCTTTATTTTCAATTTCAGGTGCTTCAGGACAAGTTTTTTGTGCAGATCCAAGGGTTTTCGTCGCTAAGTTGCGTGATCTCTGTTTGTGGAGATTTTTATATACTTCACAACGTCTATAGCTCGCAGGGTGGGCTTCACCACAAAGAGCACATGTCGCAGGATCATCTGTTGGTTTCTGGCAAGTGCCTGAAGCGTGAAGACCGGCGCATTTAACACACCTGGCCTCGTGATGGCAATATGCCTTCGTATGCCCTAAGTTTTGACACTTAGTGCATTGTACTATTAGGGGCTTCTCCCTTGGTTCTTCAAATCGTACTGTCGAGTATACTAAACATTGAACATGAAATATTTCAATATTCGTTTTTGCTTCCAAATCTATAAAGAATAATGGAAGTGGATATCTTTCCCTAGGATGCGGGTGCTATGTCCTTACCTGACGTTATGACCGATTTCTTCCAGACCTGTTTTGATGACAGATATGGGAAGCACTCAACTTAAAGAAAAAGATCTGTTTTCTCAAGTCTTAGTAGATATAAAAGATTCTTGGTTAGAAATAAATAAAAATTAGCTACAATAAAAGTTAAAACACCATATTGTAACAATAACAACAATGCGTAAAGCTATCGATTGGCATTTTATTTTTTGAGTTATTATTTTTATTTTATTAGACGAATTTTTCGAAAATAAAGTGTTAAGCACCTCTGTGCGGGGTATTGATTGATTGATGGCCTTCTGGCTGAGCTGCGCTGGACAAGTGAGGATGAGAAACGAAGTGTTCCGACAATGTTTGGAATTAATCGCAGAAGCAGACCATTCCTTCGCTAGGAGGAATGTGTCGCTTCAGATGACCAAGCAAGACTTGATATCTCTAATTGGAAGGCAGCAGCTCTCGATAGGTAAAACTGGCGATCAATGTTAAAGCAGGCTAAGACATATGAGTAGTTAAACAGACGATAGAAAAAAAAGAAAATGCTTTTTTAAAACACAGATCGTTAGCAAATTAAATAAGAATGATAAAAAAAATCTAAGACAATTAAAAAGTAGATCACTCACTTTCTGGATCCGAAAGCGTTGAGCCAAAAGCTGAAATGATGTAATTAACTTTCAATTTCACGAGTTGATCAGGATCTTCGGACCATTCTCCATTTTCGTTTTGTTCCGTTCTACAGAAATAGATGCATACGATCTTTCCATCTTTCACTTCAATATTTTTAGGACTCAGAAAGGGCATGAACTCACATTTTTCTTCAAATGCCAGTTGAACCTAAAAATTTGAGTCAAGTACATGTAAAATGGATAAACCTGTAAATTAATGTATTAGAAGAATGCATTAATGCTAATGTTAATGTTCTGACATTTATTTTATTTGCTTGCTGAAATTTATTATCAAATCTCTTTCAGAAAACTATGGCTTTGAAAAGTGAATAATACCTTTAAGAACCCATTATGTTTTGTAGGTAATAACAAAAGCAATAAAATTCTGTTTTTATTATTTTTATTTTTAATTTATTGAGTAAAATAATATTCTGTTATATGCAAAATAATTATATTAAGGTAAGACTACGTCCACTGAACGTTATAATGATGACTGAACCGGGAAGTTCCCGGTAAGTTGGTGAAATTGTCAAAGGTGTGAATAAATGACCCCAAATGTAGAGTCCTAATACAAGGAGAAGTATCTGAAGCCTTTAAAGTTAGAACAATTGGAATGAATCATTAAATCCTTGGATAGGCAGATGATATAGCTGTGCTGGGAAGTAATCGCGTAATTGAGAAATTCGCTATAAGAAAGGCAGAACAGATCGGCCTTCAAGTTGATGCATACAAAACTAATAATATCATTATAAGCCGAAAATTTTACCCCAATAACCGAATATGAGTAGAAGAAAAATCATTCATGAGAGTAGAAAAATTCAAATACCTCGACTCTGCAATAACCAAAATGGATGACCATCAGCTCAAGCAGATCTTTCTTCTTCCTTTAAAAGGTATTGAAATCCCACAAAATCTCAAATTAAGGGTGTAAAATGCTATGAGAAAGCCAGTTATAATATATAGCTGTGAGACATGGTCACTAATCAGCACCCTAGAAAAATGTATTGAAAGATTTGAGAGAGAAATCCTCCACACGATAACCGGAGAGATCTGAAATCACAGTTCTAACACAATGAGAAGAAAGCTCACTGATGAGGTGCTTACAGAAACTGGCCAATCTATATCTCTAGATATGAAAGCTCTCAAAACCAGACACCAGAAAAATCGGATTCAAGATGAAGCAATAAGACCAAGAACAGATAGAGAGCCTTGTAGAATTGTGAACAATAATGTATCATTCTTACAACTACTTAGAGGTAAGAACTTACACGATAAATGAATCGTATGCCCTGCCGCAACAACAAACTCAACCCCAACCTCAAAATCTATTGATCAAATATTTTCTTTACGGCAAATATTAGAGAAAAAATTGGAGTATAACGGTATTGTTCACCAGCTTTATATAGATTTTAAAAAGGCTTACGATTCTATTGACCGCCAGAAACTGTATAATATTCTAATCGAGCAGGGGATTCCAAAAAAACTAGTAAATCTAGTCAGGATGTGCTTGACGGAGACACTCAATAAAGTTAGAATCGGTAATAATTTGTCCGAAAAATTTGAAGTTCGTTCGGGCTTGAAACAGAGGGATTCTCTTTCGCCTGTCCTGTTCAATTTGGCATTAGAACATGCCATTAGGGAAGTAATGCGAACCGAGAAAGGGTTGGATCTGGGCGGGACAACATCCGTGCTGGGCTATGCTGATGATCTGGTACTGTTAAGCGAAGACGTTGAAACTATAAAACTAAATACGACAACGTTAATGAAAGCCGGTAAAGAACTAGGACTCGAAATAAACGTGGATAAAACAAAATATATGGTTAGCTGCAAAAATGGCGATACTACTGGTGATATCGATATAGATGGTAATATGTTTGAACAGGTAGATAAATTTAGGTATCTAGGTTCTACGATAACTAGAAAAAACGAAATTGAAGAAGAGATTAATGTTAGACTGAAGGCGGGAAATGCTTGTTATTTTTCTGTGACAAAACTACTTAGTTCGCGCCTCTTGTCCCGAAACTTAAAAATTAGAATCTATAAAACAATTATCTTGCCTACAGTTCTTTATGGATGCGAAACTTGGCCGCTTACATTAAGGGATGAGCAGCGTCTTAAGGTTTTTGAAAATAAAGTATTGCGTAGAATATTCGGACCGAAGAAGGATGAGTTAACCGGAGAGTTCAGACGGTTACATAACGCCGAATTGCGTGAGATGTATCCGGGTAATATAATTGAGGTAATTTCATCGCGGCTAATCAAATGGGCTTGTAAAGTTGTTGGGCTTAGTAACGAGAGAGTTCCTAAAAGGTTAATATTTGCTGTGCCGAATGGTAAGCGTCCGAGGGGAAGACCGAAGCGAAGGTGGGAAGATTGCATTAAAGCCGATCTGAAGGGACTGGGTTTGGACGGCGAACGGTGGAGGGAGGTGTGTAACAAGCGATTGGTGGTGTCGGCATCGAACCTTCGGGTTCGCTAAGCCTTATTATTATTATTATTATTATTCAAATACAACAGATCTCACCATTCTGTTTTATCACCAGCATCTTTCCTCACCGATTTCAAATCCTTTGTTCACTCCTCACAAATCTCGTATCTCACCTCATCCCTCCTTTATAAAATCCTTAAATGACTCACATCCCAAAACCCATATCCATTCTCCTTTGGAATGCGAATGGTGTTCGAAATCATACAGACGAACTATCTACTTTACTACTTGATAAGAACATTAATGTGGCACTAATTACTGAAACTCGACTAACCACTAAACAACTCTTCAAAATATCGCAATACTTGACATATCGTACTGACCATTCTGACGGGAAAGCACATGCCGGCACTGCTGTCATTGTACACCAATCCCTGTCGAATCACCTACTCAAGATTTCCTACAATCCACCGCCATTGTAATCAAAACCTTTTCCTTTCCCGTCACCCTGGCATCAGCATATTTCCCTTCTAACAGATCCATATCCAATGACCAGTTCAGTTCTTTCCTTAAGTCCTTAGGGCATAACTTCATGCTGGGTGCAGACTTAAACGCCAAGCATCCTTGTTCATCTCCAAGGATCCAAGCAAAAAGTGGTAGATCCTTGCTATTTGCACTCAATTTAAAAAGTTTCAATCTTCTTCCTCCCAATTCACCAATCTACTGGCCAAATATCTTAACCGCAATCCTGATATCCTCGATTTTTTTATCCTCAGTAGTTTAGGTCCCCTCATTCATTCCCTTATCCGACTTGACGAACTTTCCTCTGATCATAGTCCATTAGTACTCCAATTATCTATAGCTCCTATACCTAAACCCTCTCCAACGTCCTTCATAAGAGGTCCAGTTAACTGGAAACTGTTTCATCAAATCATTTCCGATATAGTTACCTCAGAATAACCATCCTCAAGAATTCCTAAGAAAAATAGTATACCCCAACACCTCATAGACCTAATCCACACCAAATGTCGTGCCAGATTATTATGGCAACGTACCAAACACCCTATCGATAGCCGCTCCTACAATTATTATTGTAAACTATTAAAGCAAGAATTATCATCCTTCAGATATTCCTAAACCCTCCCCACCGTCCTCCATCAGAGGCCCAGTCAACTGGAAACTCTTCCATCAAATTCTTTTCGATCAAATTGACTTCAGAATAGCCCTGAAAACCCCAGAAGACCTTGACAATGCTGTACATTCCTTAACCACCATCATTCAACAAGCAGTCTGGACTGCTTCCTCTCCTAATCATTCCTCTAGAATTCCAAAGAAAAATAAATTGCCTCATCACATCCTCAACCTAATCCATATCAAACGCCGTGCCAGATTGTTATGGCAACGTACCAGACATCCCACCGACCGCAGCTCCTATAATTATCTCTGAAAACAACTAAAGCAAGAATTATCAAACTTCAAATCCCAATCCTATAACTCCTTCCTTACCTCCCTCTCTGCTAACGACAACTCCCTCTGGAATATTACTAAAAAAACGATAATATTTCCCATCCCCTCCGTCGAGGTGATGGCTCCTGGGCGGCGTCCTGACAAAGCTGAGGAATTAGCCAAACACCTTTCCAGTACATTTACTCCTCATCCCGAATCCAATCCGACCCACACTACAAGATTATAAGAATTCCTTTCTTCACCAATTCCACTCTCTTTACCACCATAAGCAGTTCATCCATCTGAGGTCAAATATCATTTACAAAATCTTCCCGCAAATCTCCTGGATACGACCTTCTAACACCACAGATCCTTCATCAACTACAACCCAATGCAATCATATTCCTCACATACATATACAACTGTATCCTAAGAACTACCCATTTTCCTCTCTTATGGAAACATTCCACCAACGTCCTTTCCTTGAAACCTGACAAACCTTCCAATAATACATCATCATATAGACCAATTAGCCTACTGCCAATCCTTTCAAAAACTTTGAAAAAATCCTACTGAAAAGAATCCTACCCATAATAGAATCACAAAACCTTCCTACCCACCAATTCGGATTTCGCTTCCAACATTCCACTGTCCAACATGGACTCCGACTTGTTGACCACATATCCTCAGCCCTAGAAAGCAAAGAGTATTGTTCGGGGGCATTCCTGGACATCGCGCAAGCTTTTGACCGGGTATGGCACGCCGGACTGCTCTTCAAGCTCAAATCCCATCTACCCTATTCCTTATATCTTATCCAACAAGGTCAACAAGTCGGAGTCCATTTTGGACAGTGATAATTTTATCTGGGATTAGGTCAATAACAAATGGGATATGAAGGTCATTATGGAGGGTTTTGTTGGATACATAGAAGGGAGCATCGATTATTGTTCGAAGGATTTTAAAGTGGAAGGATTGGATGCGTTTGATGTTAGAAAGTTTTGCTGTCCCCCACAGTTCTATTTCGTAGGTCCAAATAGGTTTCAAGATTGTCTTGTAGATTAGTAGTTTATTGTCGACTGAAAGTTGAGATTTTCTATTCAGTAGTCTATATAGTTATCCGTATCGTCTGTTAAGTTGTCTTTTAAGTCTGGTGTGTGGGTTCCATGTTAGTATTTGGTCTAGAATAAAGCCAAGATACCGGACTGTGTTGGACAGAGGTAGTGGTATGGAGTTGGAGTAGACTGGTGGACAGGAATTGCGTCGAAGGGTAAAAGTAATATGTTTGGATTTGGATTCATTTACTTGGATTCGCCACTTATTACACCAGTGTTCAATAAGAGAGACGCAACTTTGTAGGTTTAAGGATGCTGTTTCAGGATCTGAATTGGAAGATAGGATGGCTGTGTCATCAGCGAATGTTCCAAGGAGTGTTTCAGGATGAGTAGGAATATCAGCGGTAAACAGCATGTAGAGGACGGGACCCAAGACGCTGCCTTGAGGAACTCCCGCCTTGATTGAATGACAGTTGGAGGATTCTGTTCCACAGCGAACTTGAAAGGAGCGGTCAGAGAGGTAGGATCGGAGGATAAGATATAAGGAATAGGGTAGATGGGATTTGAGCTTGAAGAGCAGTCCAGCGTGCCATACCCGGTCAAAAGCTTGCACGATGTCCAGGAATGCCCCCGAACAATACTCTTTGCTTTCTAGGGCTGAGGATATGTGGTCAACAAGTCGGAGTCCATGTTGGACAGTGGAATGTTGGAAGCGAAATCCGAATTGGTGGGTAGGAAGGTTTTGTGATTCTATTATGGGTAGGATTCTTTTCAGTAGGATTTTTTCAAAGTTTTTGAAAGGATTGGCAGTAGGCTAATTGGTCTATATGATGATGTATTATTGGAAGGTTTGTCAGGTTTCAAGGAAAGGACGTTGGTGGAATGTTTCCATAAGAGAGGAAAATGGGTAGTTCTTAGGATACAGTTGTATATGTATGTGAGGAATATGATTGCATTGGGTGGTAGTTGATGAAGGATCTGTGGTGTTAGAAGGTCGTATCCAGGTCAGTACTACTTTTAAATATTTCCACTAAATTTTTATCCCATTTAATAAGTATATTAATAAACCCGGTTATCCTACCTTCTAGAACAGAATAACTTCCTAAATCCCTACCAGTCCGGTTTCCGGCCTGGCCACTCCACTTAGTATGCCCTTATCAAAATTCCCAAGGCCTGCATTCAGCCATGGGCCAGCAGAAACTCACCATCCTTATTCTTCTTAACTTCTCCAAAGCCTTTGACTCAGTAGGCCATATAATCCTCCTAACCAAGCTTAAAAATATCTCCTTCTCCAAGTGCTCTTAATTGGTGCCAATCCTTCCTTACTGGTCGCTCCCAGTATGTTGCAGTCCCTAATAATTCTCTTATCAGAATCTCTACCCTTGTCCAGACATGCCCCACAAGACTCCTTCTTATCTCCCACTCTTTTTTTCGTCTATATCAATGACATCCCATCCTCTATTATTCACTGTCAATAACATCAGTATGCCGACGACGTCCAGATTTACCTATTCTTCTATCAGACCGATTCTTCTGAGACCATTAAAAAACTATAGAGAGAAATAAACAGAATTTGTGCTCGGGCAAACCACAATCAGATCACTCTAAACGCCAAGAAAACGAAATACATCCTAATTCGATCTCCCTCGCTCCTCAAATCATTACTGACATTCTCCAATCATCTCCTGAACAACTCACATATATTATGCCATACTTCCTTAAAAAAACCTTGGTATTACTTTTGATCAAACCCTCTCCTGGAAAACACACATCTCCTAAATTTCCCGTCACATTATCTCTACACTGAAACAGATCAACCAATTTGCTCTCCTGTGTTCCTCCAATTTGAATATGGCTGTCTGGTATACGGCAGACTCTCGGGAGAATTCGAAATCAGACTTAAACGTTCGATGAATTGCTAAATACGTTTTGTTTTCGGAATCTCAATAAATATGCATGTAACCCAGCATTACACCAAGCCAAAGTGGCTGTATCCATCCAACCGCAGTATGTACTTCCTTGCTACCTTTCTATACCAGGTTATCAGAACTCGGCGACCCTCCTATATTTTTCACAGCCTACAATTTAAATACTTCATTCAATCCAGTCCTACTAGATCCCGTACTTTCCACCTCTATCCTCCTCCTCACAGAACTTCTGCGTTTGACAAATCGTTTGTAATACAACCTGTCTCCCTCCGGAATTCTATCCTTCTGATATTAGACAAGTACAATCAGGTTCTTCTTTCAAACCTCTCCTCTTAAAACTTCTACTCCTTTCCCTTTACTGTTCATGAAATGTACCTAACAGAACTCTTTAAGTACGTCTAGAGACTATGTTTGTTTTAAATACATGTATGATTTTTTTTTCTCTCTCCCTCTTTCTCTTTCTATCTTTATTTCTATTTTTAATCAACTATTTTTTGTAATTAATTAATTTATGTATAGCCACCGTGGCATTTATCCTGTACTTATAATTTGTTCTAAAAGGACAAAAGTCCTAGAATAATAAAAAAATATTTTCATTTCATTTCATTACGTCTTGAAGTCTTTTGGAGCAGCTACACGATCTTTCCTCAATTTATCCTCTCTGAACTGAAGCCTTTTCCTCCACAGGCTTAAAAACTTAGAGTTCTAAACTAACCCTACATACCCAATTTATAAATTTAGCCTTAACAGCAACCCAGAAACACAAATTCACGCATCATCTAATCGATCAGCTGTTACCGATCTCAGATTGTTCAGGTTTTTTTTTCTCCTGTTAGAGAAACCTAATTTAAGTAGAGAAACCAAGACTGAGTTTGAAGGGATTAATAATTTTTTTCTAAGCTGGGAAGGAATTTCGTGGGATTAAAATCATTCTAGAACATCGTTTACTTTCAAATATGAGTACTTCTTGTATTAATATTAATTCCAGCGATAGTTGTTGATTTAGAAACATGTTTTTTTTTTATTTATTCATGATATTTACAACTGTATTAAAAAATTAAATACATTAAGTAAATTTGATAACAGAAAATAATAACATGAAATGACTTGTTGAGGAACTGTCCACTGGTAGCACTCTAAAAACAAAATGTATTTACAATAAGAGATCTCGAGGCCATCTTCTTTTCAGACGCCTCGGAGGGTTATCAGGAATAGAAGAGGAAGCAAGGTTAGAGACGAGAGGATTCGGATGGTTCTGAAGTTTATTATGGAAGGATTGGTATCTGGATTGGGCCAAATCGGAAACATATGGAACATTAAGGTCATTATGGATTATTTTATTGGTGACAAAGTAAGGAGCATTGAGGATTTTCCAAAGGATTTTGGATTGTAAGGATTGGATACGAGAGGAATTCGATGGCTTAGTGGAGCTCCAAAGCTCAACTCCGTAAGTCGAAATAGGTTTTATTGTAGTCATGTATATAAGTCTTTTGTAATTAACTGGAAGCTTAGAGCGTTTGTCTAGTTAGTGTTGGAGTAGTCGGAAAAGTCGAGCGGTTTCTTGTCGTTTCAGTCTGGTATGAGGATTCCAAGTTAGACGTTTATCCAAGTGAAGTCCAAGGTATCGGATTTGTTCGACAGGGATAAGTGGGGTATTATTAAAGGATACTGTGGGACATGATTTCATAGGTTTACGTCGAAGGGTAAAGGTGATTTGATGGGATTTATTAGAATTTATTTTAATCCTCCAGTTTTGACACCATTCATCAAGGGCTTGTGATGTGTGATTGAAGAGTTTGGGATGCAATGCTTGGGTCATTATTAACGGATGGGACACATGTATCATCGGCATACGTGGTAATAACAGTGTTAGGATGGGTTGGGATGTCAGCTGTATAAACTGTGTAAAGGATAGGACCAAGGATACTAACTTGAGGAACACCAGCGGACTGGGAAAAGAGGGATGAATAAGCATTATTGTGATTGACTTTTGAGTATCTATGAGTTAGATAGGAACGGATAATGAGGAAGTATGTAGGATGTAGGAATTTACGGAGTTTGTAAAGTAGTCCCGGGTGCCAAACTCGATCAAAAGCCTGTTCTACATCGAGAAAGACTCCCGTGCAGTACATTCCGCGCTCTAATGCAGAGGAGACAACATCCAACACACGATGGCATTGCTGGATAGTAGAATGGGATCTGCGGAATCCAGACTGGTGATCTGGGATTATGTGACTAGAATCTAGGATTGGGTACAGGCGTTTTAGGATGAGTTTTTCCAGGACTTTGCCCATGATGGGTAAAAGAGAGATAGGACGGTAAGAGGATGGGTATTCTGGTGGTTTTTTGGGTTTATGTATGATTTTGATAATGGATATTTTCCAAGGGTTGGGAAAATGTGTGGATCGGAGTACAGCATTATATATATAAGTAAGGAATAGAATGGCTTTCCGAGGAAGTAGTTTTAGGATGAGATGTAATTAGGTCGTGTCCAGGAGCTTTGCGGGAAGGCAACCTGTGAATGATGTTGGATATTTCTGAAGGATGAAAGGCTTTAGGTGGAAGAGACATCTGGAGTGGTATATCCAGTTCTGCTTCAATACATTCAAGATGATTTGGATTAAGAATATCGGGATGTGGATTAAAGGTTTTAAAGAGGTGGTGAGCAAATATTTGGGATTTTTCCACTTCGGATTTGATCCAGGTTTGGGCTTCAGTGAGTAGTGGATGGTTGCAGTCTTTAAATTTCAGTAGCCTTTTAGTGGTCGTCCATAGTGATTTATCGGTAGATGTAAGTTTTTCAGTAAAATTTAGTAAATTTTGAATTTTATATTTTCTGATTTCAGTTTGTTAGTCAGTTGGGTGTAATGCGCTTTATCTGTTGGGTATCTGGTTCGATGCCACTTTGATCTTGCTCTGCGTTTTTCCTTTTATAAGATACGAATATGCTGTGGCAAGTTAGTATTTTGTGGGTTGTTAATCTTATTGATAAAGGTGTTATTATTTATACCGTCTGTTATTGATGATGTTTTTCTATGGCACTATTAATGTCTTCTTTTGTCTTTAGCGGAATTTTGAGGTCTAGTTTGTATTTAGAAACATTAAATCGTAAATAAAAACAATTGAAATTTTGATTAGCTACCTCTTCGGGCACCGCATGTATGTTTGAGAATCCTTTCCGAAAAATGATAAATACTTTACTGGCACCGCAGCGAAGTGCACTTGTTGCACAGTCCATCGCTGTGTCACCTGCTCCAAGAACTGCTACCCTACCAGAGAATGAAGGTAAAGGCCGCTTACAACCACACAGACCTATGAAAATATATTTTTTTCTAAAGTAGGAAACAGACAAATAATCTAAACCATCTGAAATATTTAAATATAAAAATAACTATAAAATAAGTTCGTATTATGAACCAAAGCTTAAAATATCAATATAGTTTCGCAGAAATGTTCAATATTTTTTTTTTAATTTTTAAAACTAAATTAGATTGAACTTTAGTTCGCCAAACAAAATGGACACAGACTTAGTGACACCAACAACCAACTCAAAGTGATATGAATTGTATTCCTGAGCTATAAACAATTACAGATATAAATATTCTTTATATCCAGTCATAGAAAATTCATTATATTTTATTAATATAAAATAGTTAAATTTTATATTCAACTAATTATATATGTACATATGTATATATATATATATATATATATATATATATATATATATATATATATATATATATATATAATGATAAACAACCTTTATATTTTTAGTGAGATTTAGAATAGAATAGAAAATTGAACTTTATTCTGGGTCTAAGTCCGCTTAGAATAACTATAACGAACAAATACAAAAGAAAATACATATCTGGCCAAAAACTAACTTAATAAAGATTCTAACAACATATATAGTAATTTAAATAATAGTATGTGCATTGCTACAAAAAATTAATGAAGATAAAATCTTCTCAAAAATACTTATTTTTGTAATGAAAGAATATATATATATATATATATATATATATATATATATATATATATATATATATATATATATATATATATATATATATTGGGTGTTTCAGGGTTACCTAGCGAAACTGTAAAAATGAACTAAGGATCCTCAAAACAAAAAAAAGATTTCCTTTGAAGGTTTGTCCGCAGACGCTTTGTTTAGGAGATATTCACACCCAAAGATTTTCGTTGTTGAATTCGTTGAATTCTATTACGTCATATGAAATAAATAAAACCTATTTATTTGTTCTAACTACTTTATTAATTAAATGTAAACATTGAAATTCATATTAAATTTTTATCAATGTGATTTACTTGAGCATTAAGACAGGCTCGGCATCTTTCTTCAACAGCATCAGTGGTAGAACTGCACTGTATATGTGTTATTATATCACAAGATAAAATTATCCTTCTTCATAAGGAATTAAGGTCATTGAGTGGACTTACATATACTTTTAGTTTAATGTCACCCCAAATAAAAAAATGCAGTGGTGTCAGGTCTGGAGAGCGTGCAGACCAAGCCACTGGTTCTGCACGTCCAATCCACTGATTGGGATATGTGATATAATTGAGCAAGTCCGGTCAATGACCTTAATTCCTTACGAAGAAGGATAATTGAATCTTGTGAAACAATAACACATATCCAGTGCCGTTATGCCACTGCTGCTGTTGAAGAAAGATGCCGAGCCTGTCTTAAGATGCTTCTTTTAATTAATAAAGTAGTTAGAACAAATGAATAGGTTTTATTTATTTCATATGGCGTAAATAACTCATAACAACGAAAATCTTTAGATGTGACTATCTCCTAAACAATGCGTTTGCGGACATACCTCCAGTGGAAATATTTTTAGACGAAAACATGAAAAAATCAAGTGGGTGCAATTTTTTGACTGTCATTGTATATATATATGTGTGTTAAGTAGGGTACTTCAGTAAAGCTGGTGAATAATAAGATAAGGCTTGATATCATTTTCATGTATTTTAAAATAATGAAAAACATATGTTAGCTGTTATCTGTTAAAAAACGTTTTGTAAAATCTTTGATTTGTATTAATAACAGTTATTTGTTATTGACAGTATATCTGAACCAATTGTGTACCGTTGAACAAGCCTAAAGTTAACTGGTGCCGAATACTTCTAGATTTTTTTTTTTTTTTTTTGTTCTTTCCTACCTCGCCTTTTAGGCTATATGGGATTTTCCTGGGCCGGAGGGTGAGGGTGGGGAATTTAAAATCCCCTCCGGCACCGGGATGCGAACTCATAATTTTCAATCTTCTCAAATCTCTTATCCGGTTGCCAGGCAACTCGCGGTGCAGTGCACACGCTTTAGCCCATTCTGCCACCCCGCCCCTTGAATACTTCGGGATTATTGACTCATGAAGGTTGAATCTCAGGAACAATCTATGCAACCTCAGGATCAGGCAACGGCGCAGGATTGGCGTTAACGTCAACCCCAATCCCAACCCTGGGGAGGTAGTAAAAGTAATTAATACCAGAAATCCTGAGTTGGTACAATTGGAATTTGTAAGAGTTCAGACTGCTACTGCCGCTTATTTAAAGAATAGTGTGACAGAATTAGAACGTTTCGTTGGAGAATTAGGGCATCTCAATTACTTTCTCAAACGAGGTGACCAAATTAACTACTTAATCGAAGCTTAATCGATGAGGAGGGCGCTGGACGCCAGAGGAAGACCTGTACCGAATTTTCACAGAAATCAGAAGGACGAGTCGACCACATAAAGTCGAGCAAGGAAGAAAATTCAAGAAAAATAGGGATGGTCAGCGACGCACTAATTTATGAGGGTCCAAAAGAGAAGAGAACCCCAGATGTTACGAATGTAACCGCTCAGGACCCATAACAGCAAATTGCCCGGTTATCAAGTGTTTTGAATGTGGTGACAAAGGTCATGAAGCCTGGAAGTGTCCCTGGATCTATAGGAGTCCAGCCAACCAAGATGAACCATTGAAGGTGTATCACCATAGAGTAAGACGCCCTTCAGGCACTGCGATCTAACCTCGAGCTCTGTGAGCTATTCTGATGAGAGGCAGCTCTGAAGAAGAAAAGCAGGAACCTAGATGGATGAAGAAGGTAGTAAGACCAAACGAGTGGACGAACCAGAGGCGGAAAAACAAGAACACGGACGTACAAAAAGAGAATTACATTTTAAAAGACGAGGGCAACCCACGAGAGCAGGAATTAGCGAACAGTGCATGTGAGGCTTGGGAGATGTTGCCCATAGTGCAGGGATTTAGTGATGAGATGAGAGCGTTGATTGATATTGGGAGCACCAGTACCTTGGTCAGCAGAGAGGCATTGGGAGACTTAAACAAGGAACATAACAATAAGGTATGTACATGCTCGATTATCACTCTGAGTGGCCCTTGTAGAGTAGTGGGGGAATATACGTGTGATCTTGAAAAATTCGCAGGGATAAAAACTAGAGTTGCGATCCATTTGTTAGAAAAGCTGACAGACCAGTATGAGGCGCTAATAGGGTACGACGTATTAGACAGAGTAGGATTCCATATGAAAGGAGGGATTGGAAAGTGGGATATAACGTTAGGAAAAAAATCGTACCGCAGAAATCTAATTACTAAGCAGGGCGGGCATAGGGTATAGGGTAGAGGTAACCCGGATGGAAGTAGAGCCACCATTACGTGTATTTGAGGACATATTTTATAATGAGGGGGATTCGCTACCCGCGACCGGAAAAACCACGCACGAAATCGTGTTAAAAGAAGATAAGGTCTCGTTTACAAAAGGTCGTAGGTACCCGCAGGCTATGGTAGCGGTCATAGAATCTCAAATACGTGATCTCTTATATCAAGGAATTATTAGACGTAGCATGTCACCATTTAATTGCCCATTATGGGTAGCAGAAAAAAAGAGGCAGGATTTGCAAGCAGAACCTTCATACCATCTCGTGATAAACTACAGAAAAATGAACTAGAATACTGTAGAAGGACGTTATCCTCATATATGAAGCAGGAAGACCAAGAAGAGAGAGAGAGAGAGAGAGAGAGAGAGAGAGAGAGAGAGAGAGAGAGAGAGAGAGAGAGAGAGAGAGAGAGAGAGAGAGAGAGAGAGAGAGAGAGAGAGAGAGAGAGAGAGAGAGAGAGAGAGAGAGAGAGAGAGAGAGAGAGAGAGAGAGAGAGAGAGAGAGAGAGAGAGAGAGAGAGATAGATAGAGAGAGAGAGAGAGAGAGAGAGAGAGAGAGAGAGAGAGAGAGAGAGAGAGAGAGAGAGAGAGAGAGAGAGAGAGAGAGAGAGAGAGAGAGAGAGAGAGAGCAAATTGCCACTCTCAATAATTGCCACTCTCCATACAGCCTAAAGCAGGTAATCCTTCTGAGGTCATATACTATTTTCAAAAACTGCCTACCCGCAAATCACCGGAATACGACCTCCTTACCTCTCTGATCCTTAGACAACTCCCTCCTAATGCTGTCATGTTCCTTACATACATATACAATAGCATCCTACAAACAAGCCACTTTCCTCTTTTATAAAAACATTCTACTATTATCCTGTTCCCTAAACCTGGAAAACCTCACAACAGCTTAACTTCCTACAGACCCATTAGAGTACTTCCAATCCTTTCAAAAATCCTTGAAAAGATCCTCCTGAAAAAAATCCCACCCTTCATCGAATCTCAAAATCTTCCTTGAACCAGTTCAGATTCCGTTCCTAACACTCCACAGTACAACCAGGAATTTTAGTGGTCGATCATATTTCCGCAGCCCTGGAAAGCAAGCAATATAGCTCGGGTGCATTTCTGGACATAGCTCAAGCTTTTAACCGGGTATGGCACGCCGGACTTCTTTTCAAACTTTAAACCCATCTGCCTCAGTCCTTATACCTTGTTCACCGCTCCTACCTTTCAGATCGTACGACATGAGTGTATTTGGCTAAAGCACTCTTGATTAATCTTCACCGGGTTTAGCCCCAGTGACGCGGTTGAGAGAGAAGTGCAGGGATCTCCTGGAATCATGCTTACAGTTGGAGGAACAAGTCTGGCTCGGAGTTCTCTCGCCAGATTGTAAATAGTGTATATAGGTATGTATGTGTTCTTCTTATTTATTTATTTTTAGGTTATTTTATTCTTATTTATTGTGTATGTATTATTTTTCTGTATAATTTATTTTATTTATTGTACATAGAGTGTGAATGTGATCTTTGAACCCTACTATAAATGTCCTTTGAAATAATATAAATGTCCTTTGAAATCGTCGTAATATTTGTTAATAAATAAGTTTAAAAAGAAATGGTTATTTTTAATTTTATTGTTTTTAAAAATAAAATATATATTTATGCAATTTCCTTCATTAGAATACATCCCAGATCATGGAAAAACATGAAATAAAAGCTTTGCAATAGTTAATTGTAGTCATTTTTGCTGAAAACACGGATACTTTATGGAGACTGGATAGAAAATCACATTATTTCTTTACACAGCTTGAGGTAAATATCAAGTTTTTTCCTAAAAAATCTCAATTTAATTAATATAAACTTAAACCTCATTAAACGAGGAAGTTTTTTTTTTTAAGTGAGGTAACTATAGTATAATTGGATGATGATTAAAAATAATTGCGAATAATTTATTATTTTTTTGTTTGTCTATTTGCTGAGGGAACTAGACAATGGAGCGTTCTCTACAACCTATGGCGATGACTTGACTCACATCGTTTGGGAGGACTGGAGGGCTAGACTGAAAGTTCAAACAGTGAGGTGTATCAGGCGGAAATTGAGTATGACCTCAGCTAAACCCAGGGCCTACTCATGAGAAGCTCCATGGGCATACCTCATACTATCAACCTTGACATACAGGAAGATAAAGTTAGGAGTACTTAAGTGATAAGTTAACTTTGTCGATAAACGGTCTTGGGGGTGCGTTCAATACCTTACAACGATGACCATTTCCAAAGTGCCAGAGTGAACATGGGTATATTGAAGTTCGCATTACCTGAGTGGAGCCGTACCCTCACGCAGCAGCGGAATAGTAGATTTTCTGCCATGCAGCGGTTGGCTCTGCTGAGGGTCACCAAGAGGTAAAGAACGGTATCGTATGAGATAGTGATTGTGCTAGGCGTAGCGGTGCCCCTGAAACTCTCCCTCAAGAAGGATGCAATGAAGTATCATGGTTGGAGGCGCTACCGCAGGGACTTACGTGAAAGATCAATGAGACTCCCAACCAATGGAAGAGGATTGTTAGAGAGGATTATATCGAGAAGTGGAATGGAAGGTAGGTTTTGAACCTGAAGTGTGCCTCATGAAGGAAGTTCTCTTAAAAACTAAAGTCGTAAATCTGAACCATGAATTTTCCTTTACCTTGTTTACTACTTTTCGCAACTAGGGGCAGAAAATCTTTTGAAGCATAGTACCCCATCTCTGTTGTTAAACCATTGAAGACTGTATTTCTTTTTGGATCAGGTAGTCCTATGCCTATAAATATGGCATCATATCCATCCGACATCAGGTTCTGTAATAATATGAATAGTTATTATTTCAGCACTTTTTAAATTTTATTCTGAGACAATGTCGCATAGTAACAATAATGTACAATACAAAATAAATTCTGGCTAACAGTTAATCTGGCTAACTAAAGATTTTCATAAATGCTCAATGCATTATCGTATAAAACTGTTAGCATAAATGTTAACAACTAGTTGAGTTAACAACTATTCAGGGCTAACACTCTAAAATGTTATTACCTATAGTAAGATTGAACACGTTCTGTAAACGAAGCATGTTAGTTATTGTGCTCAGTTGATCTAATAACCTTTTTTGGACCACTATTTGAACTTAAAATCGAAAAATCAAATTTTCTGCAATTATTTTTTGTCTTCGTTCGTCCAACCTTTTCCGAATTCCATCCGCAATATTTTTTTAAAGCCCATTTAAAAAGTATGGAACGTTCTTAAACTATGTAACTTTAAACTAAAATAGTAAGCACGAAATGAAAATCTCATTATTTTTTCCGGTTTTATGAATTTTGCTCCACTTTTAACGTCCAAACCATTGTAAAGTCAAACGTATCGTATTTGTAGTCGCAATATTTGGTATACAAATGTTAAATACGTTTCTCGGCTTCAAAAAACTTAAGAGACTTAACGTACTTAGCACTGGTTGCATAAATACTCCTATTTTATAGTATCTTAAAATAAAGAGGTATCTTAAAGTAAAAAAAAAAAAAATCAACAAAACAAAATTGAAAACGTAATAATGATTTAGTGAAAACATAATCATTACTTAATGAAATATGAATTCTGTCACTAATAACTGAATGTTCGAAAAAAGAGTGACTCGACCTAAATAATACTCAAACATTATCCAGTGTGTTAGGTTGATAAAAGACGGTTCCTAAAGTGTATAGAAAACATCTCGGATGATTAATACAATCTGCCGCATGGAATGACTATAAATATTAGGGCTACAAGTTTTCATTCATACAATATGTGCATACAAAAGGAAAATAACTATAAATATATATACTTTTTTTTATTTTGTTGAGTATATAACATTACGTCACATAGACAATGGTTATAGTAAGGTAAGAATACAATCATACATAAAGGAAATATAAATGAAATGAACATAAGCAAAATAACAACTAGTTTTATATAGCTTTAATTTAGTAGTTTTTGGCAACTATGTAGGCTTGAGAAGTTTAAGGTTGCACGGTAGGCTCTATTACCAGCCACTATTATGATTTCTACGCTGATTAAATTTTCATTATTTATGGCAGAACCAAGATATATAAATGTGGGTATATTTTCAAACATGAAATTCCTTATTTTGATGTCAGGATCTTCTACATGCTTTGTTGCCATTTTCATATATTATTTCAAATACTTCTTTAAGTGTCTTTTCACATCTGGCAGCAAGCACTAGGTCATCAGCATAGGCACAAATTTTCCATATCTTATCAACAATAGTGCCTTTTTTAGCTGCATGGATAGAACCACTTCAACTCGGTGTATAAGTTGGAAACATGGGATCATCAGGAAATCTTAAACATGAATCTTATGAAGCAGTTTCAGTCACACCTCCAGTATTGTGGACAGTCCTACCTATACACCAAGCAACCGTAGTCGAAGTGGAGGAAAACAAGGATCTGTCTGGTTACTAAATCGTAGGAATCGTTTGAGGATAGTTATGGATTTTCGGGTAATTTAAGAAATATGATTATTCCAAGAGAGGTTGTGATCAAAGATTACTCCAAGGTTTTTGACTGTTGAAAAGAAGTGGATGGGACAGTTATTGAGATAAAGTAGAGGAAAGAAACTGATGAGGTGACTGGAACCGATGATAAATGCCATAGTTTTATCTGCGTTCAGCTTCCGTTCAGTTTTTTTTCTCCATCTGTGAATACGGTCAATATCGTATTGCATTTTTCGGGTAGCATCAAACATCTCAGAAGGACGGAACGCTGGGTAAATTTGAAGATCGTCTGAATATAAGTGATAGTGGGAGTGATAGATAGAGTCAGGAAGGTCGCTAATATAAATCAAAAAAAGGGGCGAAGAGAATGAGGAGCTCTGAGGAATACCTTCTGATAATTGAAGCGATGAGGAAGGGGATTTGTTATGAACAACCACTGTCTGGGAGCGATTGGATAAAAAGGAGAGAAACCATTTTAAAGTGCTATTCGATATGGGCAAGCTTTGGAGTTAGGAAAGGAGATTATTATGATTAACAGAATAAAGACATTTGAAAATTCGAAAAGGAGTAGAATTGAGATTTTCTGTTTATCTATGGATGATTGGAGGTCTTGGGAAATCTTTAACAATGCAGATTGGCTTGAGTATTGGTAACGAAAACTGGATTGTAAAGGATTGAAGAGACGGTTTTGATCGAGAAAGTTATTCAACTGAGAGTGAACTAACCTTTCAAGAGGCATGTATAAAATGGAAATATGTCTGAAGTAAAAAGCTCCAGAGTTAATGGAGCACCAGAGTAATCTTCTCCGAACTCATCTTGATAACTCTCAGCAGGCGGCATAGTCCCGGGGGAGGGAGGGAGGTAACATTACTTGTCCTGTAATGGCTAAGTTCTGCTGTGGACCCAGTGTTAGGGGGAATAGCCTGGCGACCCTTTCTTCTGAGAAGAAGCAAATATTTGGAAGACCAGTTGTCTCGAGGATACGGAACTTCCATCGCTAGGCTAATAACCCGCATGGTAGTAATTTTTTTTAAAATTAAAAATACTAGCCTCGGATATGGAATGATCTCACGGAACGACCTGGCTCTCATAAGGACTTACGATTTGGTACCTAGAACATAAAGACTTTGTCAGGGAAAGAGGTTGAGCTTGTTGAGGAAATTAAGAGTTATAAGGTTTATTTCCTCGGTTTTAGTGAGGTAAGGAAGAAAGGAAGTGGTGAACTGAAGCTAGCGAGCGAATATGTCCTTATATATGCCGGATTACCTCAAGGAACTTTTGCGAAAGAAGGAGTAGGTATAGCCATGAATCCCAAATTGTATAGCCAACTAGAAGATTGAGAGTCGGTCTCATCAAGAATAATTGCAGCAGATTTGTCTTTGGCCGTCGGTAAAGTTACTTTGGAGCAAGCATGTGCACCAACAGAGGATGCAGGAATCTTTTTACTCGGACTTTCAAGGAACACTGAATAAAATAAAGAATAAAGGACGATTCGCAATACTGAGTGGAGACTTTAATGCAAGAACGAGATATGATCCAACTGTTGCTAACGGTACCCTTGGAATCCATGGAGGGGAAAGGGTAAGGAATGGAAATAGACAACGTTTTATTGATTTATGTGTGGATAATGACATGCTTGTGGGGAACACTTTCTTTCCCCACAAAAGGATACATAAAATAACCTTCTCGAGCCTGGAAACAAACAGTATTATCGACTATTTCGTATAGGATCTTGGCATAAGACAGTATTTTGCCGACATTAAAGTGATAAGAGGTGTAAAATCATCTGTTACTAATAATACTAGTCTTTATATATATATATATATATATATATATATATATATATATATATATATATATATATATATATATATTTATAATAGCAGTATTTTATTTCCATTTGCATCTATTGTTTATTTATATACATGTACATACAGGTGTATACATGTATATACCTTCCTTTAAGAATTGTTAAAGTCTTTAACGAGGACTATCCGTACTATGGTTCGCTGAGAGTTCACTTATCTTCATCTTCCAGTATTTTCTGCCATTTCGTTTTCGTGACCACAGTTATTTCTACCTTCTTTATCTCGTCTACCTATATTCTTCTTTGTTTGCCTCGGTTTACACAGAGGGTTTTAAGGATTTTTCATCTAGCCTTAGGATCTGAAGCTTGTGATAAGGAAGTATGAAAGAATTGTGCCTTAGCACGTCACAAGGAAGATTGGGTAAGGTTTCGAAGAGTCTTATAAGAGAAGTAGTCACCGAATTACGTGTTCGTCTGAAACGCCTCCTAGCAGCATCTCATCTCTTTATCAACTCTTATTTCTGAATTAATCGAAGGAGCGGCAGGGCGTCTGCAGGTCGAGGCCTTCAAGAGGGAACTTATTGCTACTAAAATAACAGCGTTTATTGCTCATTAATTCCAAATTTTTAAAACTAGGAGGTAAGAAAGAAAAGACACAGAGGATATGTTTGTAGTTTGAGGGCTGGAACTAGATTCAAAGAAGCAGGAAAGGAACTATCCACTCTCGGCACTAGTTATACCCAAATAGTGTTCTTCATCGACTTGCAGTCATTTAAGCTTAACAACTAAATGGTTGATGATAGCAAGAAGATTGTCACAAAGTTCATTGGAAAAGACCCAGTGACCGTTATCGAGTTGGTCCCCTTACAGAACTGTCTGGGGGACGCTGTTCAACTAGCTATATTAGCCCTCCTCCTTGCAGTACTTCTTAAGAGCCGTTTCCTATGCTACGAAGTATACTTTATTCTCAATTTTACATCATTGAATATATCAGATGATTTTAATCTAATGATAAAATAAAATTATTAATAATCATAATTTTAAGAAAATCATAATTTTTAGTTTATAAGAAAAAGAAAATACACTTAATTTATTACTTATTTATATCGTGTGAATGTACTATTTCATTGCTAACACTAATTTCCTTAATTGCGAAAGACTGTAATGCAACTCAATAAAGAAATAAAATTTAATGAAAAAATATTTTTAACTTACTTTAATAGTAATGTCTTTCCCAAGAGATATTCCGGTAACAATATTTACTCCTAAATCTCGCACAAGATCTATTTCAAATTGAACAGCCTTGTATGGGAGACGAAACTGTGGAATTTCAGATGAGCTAAAGAAAAAAAGGATTAACAGTTTTATTTCCTTTTCCTATTTCATGCCTGATCATATGAGTAAACATTGATAGTGCTAATTTTTCATTATATTTTAATGGAATAATGCATATATTTTAATTATTTGACAATTGCAATTTTTACACATATTTATTTTAAATATTTCGTTTGCCTTAGTATTAATTTAAAATAATTATTAAGCTTGATTTCGCATTTAAAAATAAATAGGGTAAAACCATCAGTTGTCGACACCCCACTTAGTTTTCCGCACCCTTTTGCAGTTATTGAAAAATATTAAGCGTTGGGTATACACGAGTCTAGAGCTGTTGAATCTCGCTCATTTGAAGTGGGAATCTTTCCTCTGTACGCATATTCAGCCATCTTCCATCATTTATTTAGTTTTATAAGTGGAAAAAGGCGGAAAAGATTAGAAAATCAACAGGTCTCCCAAGTGACAATACGTTTCTTACTTTGACAACACATATTTTCTTTTTGCGGAATTGTATGCTATTAACTGATATTTTAATGTTTTATATCATTCTGTATACTATTCTGTTGGTTTAAGATTTAAAATCATCCACGAATTTTCATTTTCAAATTATTTATCTATCTATTCTATAATCTATTGCGTCATAGGTAGATCTCAATACTTGTCTACTTTTTCACAATATCTTTACATGTTTTCACTTAAACGTCTTAAGGTACATACATAAATCATTTATTTACTCTAGTTATTTTCTTTTATTCTTATTTTTAATTATTTATTTTTGATAATATTGTAGCACTAAAATTGGTTACCTATAAAAATCATTTATCATTTCTTTCTAATTTTATTTAGTTATTAGTATGTTGTTGTTTTTTGTGCCAATATTATAATTTTGTAACCATCTGCTTTCCTTAATATACTCTCCAAAACTATGTATATACTCATTTTATTACTTAGATTGTAGTTATTCTTTATTATAATACGTCATCTGGTCAGATTTATTGTCAATTGGTTTAAACAATATTGTTATTCTCAAGGGACCTAGTCCCAGAATAAAGATGATTTTCTATTTCTATTTAAAGTAGATGCTCAATTGGTTGCTCAAAAATGTGAAAATTCAATTTTCGTCATCCCTTGGTGCTGAAAACTGTAACCTCAAGGATTGATTTTTGTGAGGCACCTCCTTTATTTACATTAAACAATGTATTTTTTTAGAGCTTATATTTTCAAAGTTATTTAGATCAAAGTTAATTAGATCAAATTAAATTAAATCTAAGGGTTCTAATTAGAACCCTATATTTTAGGTTGCAGCTTAAAATATGAATCCAAAATTATTATATGAATTTATTAAACCAACTTAAAAAAAGTAATAATATCCATGCCCAACACTTATCTTTGTCCTGTTTAACTTTAGGTTTGTTGTATCTAACTACTTATGTAGTGAATGCTCTTATACAATATCATTGAAGTTATTTCATTCTGAAGGCTGCCAGGTTTAATAATTCAGATTTTTGAAAATTGTGTCAGGGGTACCGAAAACTGGCTCCTCGAGGTGCCGAAAACAGGCGCATACGGAATTCTTATATGTTTAAAATTTTAATATTAAAAAAATAAATGAAATACACTGTTTTACATATATGTTGTGAAATTGGATATCTTTACTGACTTAACGGAACCGAAATTGTTGAACCAAGCACCCATGCGATTGAAAATGAGATAAATACATTGTAAAGTTTACTTAAGCTTGCCGAAAACTGGGTGTTATTCTCTGTTCTTATTCTATTGTCTTAACACGCGAGAATATATTACCAACAGTTATTGTATATTATTTATAGTTTTTAGTAAGGTATAATATATGTAATTTGGACCCCTTCCAGATTTTACATGATGATTGTGGTAAAGCCAAAACGTAGACAATAAAATATTAGATTTGGTGACAAGTTAATATTATAATAAAATTGTTCTGAAAAAAGATATCGGACCATAATTAAATATTATTAAAATGAAACAGCTGTAAGAATTTATGATTTCAAACAGCACAATAATAATTATACAACATGATTGTATACACCTGTAACTTTAAATATATGATTCAACAAATACCTCAAACCACCGGTAAAGTCTTGTTTTTCAAAAATTGTAATATTTTTGTATCCCAAGCGGGCTAAGTATGTGGCGCATGACAGAGATGCTGGACCGCAGCCGATTAATGCAATTTTACTTCCTCTATCATCAATCGTTTGTGGTGGTCTCACTTGCTTCACTCCCATTTTTTGAAATACCTGTAAAGCGAAAGATGATAAATAGTTAGACACTTTTCTTATTTTATGCAGCATATTGTGTGTACATATATATAATAATGTTGAATTTAAGATTCTATTGATTAGGGCAAAAGATGAAACAGTTATGGATTTATGACTATATTTATTGAACAAAACTTACACATTTTATACAATCAAGTACAACATAGGTTCCGGCATAACGGAACGGAACAATAACAACAATCCGAGTAGCAATGTATAAGGTTACACACATAAACATGGTCGAAACAGTGTTGCCACAGATCCACAAATAAATCGCCTAAGACCCTCCCTATTTGTGGATTCCTTGACACTTGATACATTCGCTGAACTTGTCCACATCAAGCGCCTTAGTCAAAGAATCGGCGGCCATCTTCTTGGAGGGAATTAACGTGAAGGAGAGAAGCTTCGCCTGCAGCTTTTATCTCATAAAATGTTGTTGTACATCGATGTGCTTGGTCCTTGGTTGATAAGCACCATTTTATGCCAGATTTATTGCTCCCTGGTTGTCGCAGAAGACCTGAGTAGGACTATTCGAAGTTTGCTCAATCTCTTCAGAGAGATCTCTCAACCATAAATTTTCCTATGCTGCTGAAGACATTATCATATATTCGGCCTCCGCTTGTGGTAGCTTAGACTGAGGCAGTTCTAACTATAGATGACTACATTTTTCACAGGATGCTACTAAGGACAACAAAGAGTTCAAAGAATTTCTAGCTCCTTGTTGTTCTTTATCAAGCCTTTCACAAATAGCTTTATATCCATGTATTATGGAACAGTTCCTTCTATTTTATTCTTCAGCCTTCTCTTTTTATCTTTTCAACATATCCTTTACTTGGACTAGTTGTACCTCAAGTTTTTTTTTCCTTCTTCTGAGCTAACTAATTCACATTTTTACCTTTCCAGCATCGCCCATGAATTCTACTTATTGGCCAACATCCTTCAAAAAACGTCCCGATTTCCTAGATATATTTATCACCTCCAAGATTTTCTCCTCCCAAACCATAATAAAATCCCTGAATGACCTTTCTTCAAACCATAGTCCAGTTCTGCTTTCACTACATTCTAACTTTGCTCCTAAACCATCACCTTCTAAATTGATCACAGGACGAGTAAACTGGGACAAACTTCGTGATGACTTCGAAAACAAACTAGATCTAAAAATCTCGCTAAAGACAAAAGAAGACATTAACAGTGCCATAGAGTCCTCAAATCCTACCTTTCAAATAGTTCCTTTCAAGTCCGTTGCGGCACCGAATTCTTCAATTATTATCCAGTTGAGGCTGGTGTTCCACAAGGCAGTGTCTTAGGCCCAGTTCTCTACATTCTTTTCACAGCTGACATACCAACCCATCCTGATGCCCTTCTAGCAACATTTGCTGACGACACCGCCATCCCATAATCCCACGCAAACACTGAAACAGCATCCCTAAGCATACAAAGACACATCTCCCTAATAGAGCAGTGGTGCAACAATTGGCGCATCAAAATCAATGAATCCAAATGCAAGCAGGTCACCTTTACCCTCCGACTCAGATCCTGTCCACCTATCCTTTTCAACTCAGTATCTCTTCTCATCTCAGACACAGTTCGGTATCTTGGATTCCTTTTAGGCAAAATACTAACATGTAGCCCACATCCCAGACTTAAAAGACAAGAACTGAACCGACGATTTGGTCAATTATACAGACTGCTTAACAGAAACTCTAACCTCTCAATCGAAAACAAACTATTAATATACAAGACCATACTAAATTTTCGAACATCAAACGCATCCAATCCTTCCAGTCCAAAGTCCTTCGTACAATAGTAAATGCTCCTTATTATGTTACAAACAAAACTCTACATCGTGTTTTTAACATCCCTTATGTCCTTGAAGTTATTCCACCCCGTTTCTCAAATTTTCATCAAAACCTAATCCATCATCATAATTCCTTAGCACAATCCTTATCCAGCTCCAGCCATCCCTACAATCCTCCTCGAAGGTTAAAAAGGCAGTGACCTCGAGATCTTTTGTAGATACGTCATTGGAGTCCTGGCAATGGCCAGCTTCTCCACTCAAGTCATGAGCGTATGTGGCTTTAGCGCCCTTTCTCAGTCTCCACTGGATCTTCATCCCAGTGATGCGGCTGAGAGAGAAGCACTGGGATCTCTTAGAGTCTTGCCTTATCTTCCACACGTGGGGGAAAGGGCCCGACTTGAAGCTTCCTCGGCTGACTGTAAACATTGTAAATAAGCATGAATGTTTTATTTATTTATTTTTCTCTTTTATTTTGTTTTGTTTCTTATTTGTGTATTATCATATTTTATTTTATTTGTGTTACTAAGGTTTCTTTTTCTTATTTTTGTTATAATTTCTATTTATTTCTGTATTTGTATTGTACGAATGAGTTTCTTATATCTCAAATACTTAATATTCTCAAAAAAAAAAAAAAAAAAAAAATAGTGCCATAGAAAAACTGACAGCATCAATAACAGACAATATAAATAATAACACCTTTATCAATAAGATTAGCAATATAAAAAGAATAACTTGCCACAGCATATTCGTATATTATATTATTAAGGAAAAACGCCGGGCAAGATAGAAGTGGCGTTTTAGTTGGATGATACACAACAAATAAAGCGCATTACACCCAACTAACTAACAAATTAAAATCCAAACTTCAAAATTTACTAAATTTTACTGAAAAACTTACACCTACCGACAAATCACTATAGACGACCAATAAAAGCCTCCTGAAATTTAAAGACTGTAACCATCCACTACTCACCGAAGCCCAAACCTGGTCCAAATGTGGCGAAGAAAAATCTCCTGATATTTGCTCACCACCTCTTCAAAACCTTTAATCCACATCCCGATATTCTTAACCCAAATCACCTTGAATGTATTGAAGCAGAACTGGATACACCACTCCAGATGTCTCTTTCATCTAAAGCCTTTTATCCTTCAGAAACATTCAACATCATTCACAGGTTACCTTCGCGCAAAGCTCCTGGACACGACCTAATTACATCCCAGGTCCTAAAACTATTTCATTGGAAAATCATTCTATTGCTTACTTATATATATATATATATATATATATATATATATAATGCTGTACTCCGATCCTCTTATTTTCCTGACCCTTGAAAACTATCCATTATCAAAATGATACATAAACCCAAAAAGCCACCAGAATACCTATCCTCTTACCGTCCTATTTCTCTTTTACCCATCATGGGCAAAGTCAACTTATCCTAAAACTGCTGTACCCAATACTAGATTCTAATCATATAATCCCAGATCACCAGTTTGGATTCTGCAGATCCCATTCCACTATCCAGCAATGCTATCGTGTGGTGGATGTTGTTTCCTCTGCATTAGAGCTCAGAATGTACTGCACGGGAGTCTTTCTCGATGTAGAATATGCTTTTGATCGAGTCTGGCAACCGGAACTGCTTTATAAACTCCCTAAATCCCCAAATCCTACATACTTCCACATTATCCGTTGCTACCTAATTGATAGATACTTTAAAGTGAATCACAATAATGCTTATTCATCCCTCTTTTCCCAGTCCGCTGGTGTTCCTCAAGGTAGTATCCTTGGTCATACCCTTTACACAGTTTATACAACTGACATCCCAACCCATTTTAACACTGTTATTACCACGTATGCCGATGATACATGTGTCTTATCCGTTAATAATGACCCAACCATTGCATATCAAACTCTTCAATCACACATCACAAACCTTGAAGAATGGTGTCAAAACTGGAGGATTAAAATAAATTCTAATAAATCCCATCAAGTCACCTTTACTCTTCCCTTTAAACCTTCTGTCCTACATCATCCTTTAATAATATCCCACTTTTGGCCCAATACAGATACCTATACTTCCATAATAAACTTCAGAACCATCCGAATCCTTTCGCCTCTAACCTTGCTTCCTCTTCTATCTCTGATAACCCTCCGAGGGGTCTGAAAAGAAGATGGCCTCGAGATCTCCTATTGTAAATACATTTTTTTGAGAGTGCTACCAGTGGGTAGTTTTTCAAAAAGTGATTTCATGTTATTATTTTCTGTTATCAAATTTACTAAATGTATTTTATTTATTAATACAGTTGTAAATTTCATAATTAAAAGGAAAAAAAAATCCTTTTCAGTTCAGAAGTGCATTTGTCAGGATTCTTCTCAGTTTTTTTCATATCTAGGAATTCGTTAGAAGTTTTTATCGGTATATCTTGATACGAAGGTAATTTTCTTCGGAGGGTCATACAACCGGTGCCCTTATGCAACAAATAAGCAAGACGTAGATCTGGAGCTGTATTTAGTTTGCTTCGGTGTAGGAATGAGAGCAAATGCCTTACAGCCGGTTTTTTAACTGCCCACACTTGTTCTGGAGTTGTAACAACAGACTTGCACGGTGACCTGTTCAACAGATAAGTAGCAGAGTTTACAGCTTTCTTCCAAAAAACGATCGTACAAGATGTCTACTGAGTCCTGACCCTATCAGTAGACGTCTTGTACGATCTAACATAGAACGGTTAAGGCGCCCAGCCTTTCTATTTTGCTGTAACGAGTAAGGACAGGAGGTCTGATGCACAATACCCGATAACTTCAAGAGAGAGAATTATTTTATTTTCATAAAAGGGTGTTGCCCAATCACATTGGGTTTCTTCAAAAACAGCATACTTATTAATAACTACAGACAATTTCATTAAAACTAATATACAATTATATAGTATTAACAACATATATGAGTATAGTATACAATATATTTTACATATACATACATCCCTTTTTCTTCCTTTTCTCCCCTTATACATTTTTCCTACTCCTCCTCGTGTTCTCTCCTCTCTCTTCCTAACCTAATTCGCTTAATTGTTAATTGCAGTACTCTCCTCCATTGTCAGTACGTAGAATTTTAATTTTGCTGTCAGACTAATTTTCAACAAGCGAAATAATTGGTGATTGGATCATTTGATTTCTCGAGCT